AACGGCAGCTGTCGTTGCTAGAGGGTGGAACTTCTTCAGCGTTGGGAGATCTTTCACGAGAAAGAGACGAAGCTGTCGAATCGGCGACTGATACGAAGAAGCGCCTAGACGCAGCCCTGAGGAAACTTCGTATCCAAGAGGAAGATTCTCTACGAGTTCATGAACAGTGGGCCGAAGAAAAAGAGAACTGGGAAGATGAGAAGCGCAAATATGAGCGGCGAATCCATGTGGCGGAAAGCCGCCTAAAAATGGTACTCGATGAGGTCGCAGCCTATCAGGCAAATCACGCAAATGGAGCCCCTCAACAAGGCCGTGGCCATGAGAGCGATGCAGAAGACAGCGGTAAAGAGAATGACACAGGCAGCGTGAGAACAATGAGTCTCACAAGCAGCATTCGTTATTCCCTGGCCAATGGACTTGGCTTTTCTCTCAATGGCTACTCTCTGGCAGATGAGCTCAAATTTGATGATACGGATGACCAGACAGACCTTGACGGACGCGAAAGTGTCTTCTCAAGCCCCCGACAACAACAGCACCGGCGAACATACAGCCGTGAGAGTGTCATTAGCAAGCTTCACCGAAGGACAAAGAGCATAGAAAGTGTGAAGCGTCCTGGCAGCGTTGCACGTGGCAGACTTTTCATGAACCAATCAGTTCTAGAGGCTCTCGAAGGCGAAGACGAAGAGACAGAGGGAGAAGATTCTGCTCCGCCCCGTACTCGCGCTACCTTTAAGCCATCGTACGCTGATGCTGGAGTCCAGTCTTCTCCTGCTTCCGAAACTTCATACAATAACGCTGGAGTCCAGTGCTCTCCCGTTTCTGACTATACATACAGCAACACTGGAGTCCAGTGCTCTCCTGACTTTGAGCATACATACAGCGATGCAGGCGTCCAGTGTACTCCCCCGGCCCCGGCTCCCATTCCGGCTCCCAAGCCTCTATACACCGACACTGGAATTCAATACTCTCCTGCTCCTGAACCCTCATATGCCGATGCAGCAATTCAACACTCCACTGCTTCCGAATCTTCATACACTGACACAGGAGTTCAAGATGCACCTAACGCTACAACCTCGTATGCTGATACTGGAGTTCAGTACACGGTTACTTCTGAACCCACATACGCTGATACAGGAGTTCAGCACTCACCTGCTCCCGAGCTCTCTTACGCTGATACAGGAATCCAATTTTCTCCACCACCTTCTCCTACGCTGGAAGTGGTGCCATCTCCTGAACTGGAGCCTGCCATTTCCGAGGTAGTCGAAAAGAAACCGTATGAAGAGACACCCCCGCGATCGTCCGAAATTGAAGCAAATCAGCGAAAGAAGAGAGTTAGTCTACCCCCTACTATTGAACCGCCTACTACACCCCGACGTATGGTGTCATCAGCCTCGCAGACGGTTGAGATTCCTTTAACCCCTCCGAAGACGCCAAATTCAGTGTACGAGCTGCGCGAGGCTTCACCTGTGGAGGTCGAGACGCCAAAGCCTGAACCGAAGATGACGACTTCGTCGACGCAGACCGAGGCTCCCGCTCCCGTAGTTTCTCCTATCCCGCTACCTCCATTGTATATCCCGAGCATCAGCATTCAGCCGCCGACTAGCCGGCCTACTTCGCCGCATACTCCGAAGCTACCCCAACACTTCAAAGACTTTGGCTGCCAAGTCCATATCATTGTTAAAGGCGATATGGTTGACTCGAGCTCTCAAACAGAGGCAATCCAGACAGACAAGAGACTGGCTCTTCTTCCAGCCCATCTTCAGCCGTCTTCTATCACTTCCCGTCCTACCTCGCCTCATCCTTCGGGCATTGCTATTCCCGACAAGAGCGCCAATCCTCCTGCTGGCGGCTTACCTCCTCGAAACCCTCGACGGCTGGAAAGCAGCCGGTATAGCACCGAACTTCCGGCTTCCCCCATCAGCCTCCGAATGGATGACCATGATTTACACGACTACAACGATGATCTTCTCCTATCGAGCCAACGCGGCCCAATAATACCGCCTCGCCGTTTCAGCAGCCTGTTCTCCGGCTTTTATACCGACTCGGATGAGATTGACGAGTTTGGTGAGCTGGACATGAGCGATTCTGAATACCGAACTGCCTTGACGGCCCCCAGACCTCCATCCAACTTGAGCCGAACCGGTAAGCGAAGTTCAGTGGGTACAGTCGCAACTTCGCCAGATCAACATTCCAAGCGCTCCGGTAGGACATCTGTAAGATCAGTAAGGAGCACCGATCTGTATAGTGTTGGTGAGAATGAGCCTGAGTCTGGGAGATCAAGTCGGCTCAACGAAAAATCACCAGCGCCTGCACCGGGTCCATCAAAACGCAACAGCTTCACGCGAAAAGCTACCATGGCCCAGACAGGCTTGGCTAACTACCCTACCATTGTTGAGCCCAAGAATCAAGCACCATTCCCTATCCCAGCCCGAGCCAGCTCACGGAAGCCATCCATCAGCACCAGTATCCCAAGCGATGGACGCAGCACTCCATCGAGCATTAGCGGCCATCGCCGAAGCGGTAGCCGTACTTATTATGCCAATAGCGTTCATGTTCGTCGTGTTCGTTCCGCAAACACTCTGCCACACCATGAACGTCACCGCAGGACAGGCAGTCGAACACCGCCTCTATCACCCTCCACTGAGGCCCCTGAAAGTCCTGGTCTCCCTCCCCTGCCCCAAAATGATATCACGACGCCGCATAACCGGGAAGGCAGCACCTATAAAAGGCACCGCCATCAGCTATCCAACAACACTGTCATGACTGCCAAATCAGAGGCCGTGTCCCAGGCAAGCTCACAAACGCCCGGAGTCGTGGATGCGATTGCTCAGACCATGGTTGGAGAATGGATGTTTAAGTATGTCCGCAGAAGGAAATCGTTTGGCGTTGGAGACGCGGGGCATAAAGATGAGAACAGCAACGACAGGCACAGGCGATGGGTCTGGGTGGCACCGTATGAGCGAGCTATTCTATGGAGCAGCAAGCAGCCATCTTCCGGCAGTGCTTTGCTAGGAAAGACAGGTCGCAAGTGTAAGTGTATAACCCCTGAAGTGAGAATTTCCGTTGAGTACTAACATACTGAATAGTTGCTATTCAATCGGTCCTCGATGTGAAAGATGACAACCCGGCACCTCGAGGTGCTACAACGCCCATCTTCAACCGATCAATCCTTATCCTCACACCACAACGAGCACTCAAATTCACAGCGCCTACAGCTGAGAGACATTATCTCTGGCTGACGGCATTGTCATTCCTGGCCCATTCCTACCAAGCCGTTCCCGAAGTCCTACCTGCTCAGCCCCAACAACACCTCTCGGTTAAGCAGCGCCCTCTCCCGAACTTTGAACCGCCGCGCCCTACGAAGCTGACGAGAGGAGGAATACGAGATTCTATTCGACTGGCCAAGGGTCGAGCAGCTCCGCCAAAGGCAGAGCTGGCGAGCATGCCCAGCATCCCCGACGTTCCCACCGTACGGATGGGCGATGTTTCTAGGTTTCGAGTGGCAGAGTCCGTGACTGGAGCCGGGCACTCAAGGGAAATCTCGGTGGATGCCGCCGAGCCACCCATGATACCTCGCTTCAATGATCGGACGGGCCACACGCCAACGAACCATGGCCGCAAGCGTAGCAACACAGGAGGTCGTGTGCCCCCGCCGCTATCTTTCCGAGGCTTCTCAGGGCCGACTCTTGGTGAAATCAGCCATCACTCTTCAAACAGCACGGCTGGTGCCAGTATCGAGACGACTGGCTCCTCTGACCTTTACCAGTCACAAGGATCCCCTGCCAGCTGGGGTATAGCCCAAACACCATTGTCGACGGTATCATCTCAGCAAGGCAACTTCTTTGACGCAATAGGTACTGTGCGCATGGAGGCGTTTATTAGCCCTCATGCATACCAGCAGTATAACGAATATCAAGAAGAAGGGGAAGATGATTACAGAGCGCTTGCGCGAAAGAAGAGTAAAGAATTCCGCCGACGCAGCAGCCGGAATCGCCGTCGTGCCCAGCTGTCAAGGAGCACCCGGGGATCAGACGAGTTCTTCAGCGGAAGCAAGACAGCAGGAGAGGAGGACTTTTTCCGAGACGACCCATTTAGGGGCTTTTAAATGGTCTGCAGTGGCCACAACCCACGAAACACATAAATCAACCATCAACCACACGCTCATTTGTAATATACCAACGGTCCAAATATAAGGGATCAAACAACACCACGACGGGATACCCTCTTTCTTCGACATTATAAACATCTACATTTTGCTTCAAGCCTTGTATTGATATGAATTACGGTCATTGCCGCATTATTTTTCTTCATTTCTGCCGTTCCTTTGTTGCTTTCACCATTCATTTTTGCGGTGCGCGGCGCTGATTTTCTTCCTGAATATATACGTCTGTATTAACATATTTTTTTTTGTCTGGGGATGAATGTTGGGGTCAAGGGGACTCCGAAACATATACAAAATAGGGGTGTACACAAGGCAAGAGGGAGCAATTTCCACCATGATCTCACGCTTTTGGAGGCGTCTTTGGTCTGGATACAGCAAGATAGACTTGGAGATGCGGTTGGCAGGGACGGCGGGATGAATGCCCTCTCAGCAAGGAAGATTGGGCGGCCTTTCTCTGGCAACATGGAGATGTTGAGAGAAGGCTAATACTAGATAGTAAAAACTGAGATCAATACGCTCGTAATACAACGAAATTATTACTCCATCTCGAACATGATTTTGCTATGCTGAACAGTTTGTCATGTGCTTGCTTCATGGTCGGATCCGGGGCAAACACCGGCCCCGCCAAAGAAAAAAAAAAAGAAATCCGTTGAAGGCACTTTGACTGACCCCGCCATTAACACCTACCTGTGCCACCACTCAAGCTTACGACTGTTTTTCTTTCTGGCTCTGCACATTCGTCATTCATTTAGAAAGGGGGAAAAAAGAAAGAAAAAGGAAAGATTACGAGCAGAGAAGACGGGGAGAAGCCGAATAAACGTATAAACAGGACGGCAAAATGGAGGGCGAGACATTGGAGCAGATGCAGACGCGGCACCGTCGTGAGCTCAAAGACGTCCAAGGAAGAATCACCAGCAAGAAGAAGAACGCGACGAAGAAGACGCGCAAGGGTGTCAATGACGAATGCGCCGAGATGGAACGTCAGCTAAGAGAGAAGCAAGCTTCTGAGGTTGCGGCCATGAATGGAGAGGCGGGAGAGGATCTCGAGGAGGAGGAGGAGGAAGACGAGGCACAGCAGAACGGCGCGACGACCAACGGGGCGCAAGAGCTAGAAACAGCGACAGCGAAGCTGAACCTGGAGGAGAGCAGCAACGAGTCAGCGCAGCAGCAGCCCGGCAAGAAGCGAAACCGACAAAAGGAGCGGCTGGCGCGGCGCGCTGCCGAGCAAGAGGCCGCGATGCTCCACGCCGAGCAAGAAGCGTCCAACATGACGGACCACCGGGCGCGCGAGAGCACATACATGAAGGGCGAGTTCAAGGCGCACGGTCTCAGCGAGAAGGACATCCAGCCGGACGGTCACTGCCTGTTCGCGGCGCTGGCCGACCAGCTTGCGCATAACGGCATCCCGCTGGGCGCTGACGACGACGACAAGGAGCCGGCGTATCGGACGGTGAGGAAGAAGGCGGCCGGGTTCATGGAGGCGCACGCAGACGACTTTGCGCCGTTTTTGGAGGAGGACCTGGAGGGGTATGCGAAGAAGATGAGGGATACGGCGGAATGGGGCGGGCAGCTGGAGCTGATGGCCGTGGCGAGACAGTACGGGGTCGAGATTAGAGTGATTCAGGACGGGAGGACGGAGAAGATTGGAGAGGGAGAGGTAGAGGGAGAGGGAGAGGGAGAACAGGCAAAGACGCTGTGGCTGGCGTACTATCGGCATGGGTATGGGCTGGGAGAGCACTACAACTCCCTGAGAAGGGCGGCGGCGGCGGCGGCAACCACGACGGCGGCGGACTGAGCATTGCATCATGACGATATCGTGAGAGTCTTTTATTTTGCGTATTCATGTTATATCACAGGTCTATGGGGAGAGAGCTTCTCCTCGTGGAAGAAGAAGGGAGCTCATGGGGCGCCAGCTTCGGTCCTTACCGCTGCCCCCGTCCTACCTACACATCTATATACGGAACTCTCGTCACCTCGCTTCAACAGAGCGACACATCAAACTTCAGCATCCTGCAGTGGCGTTACTACCGAGACCACACGGAGATGAAGTCCCTGACGCTCCCGTCCTCGTTTGTGCCCGCCTTGTGCGTCCTCGGCGGCTTGACGAGGCACACGCGGTGAAGCGCATCGGGGTGAGGCTGCTTGGGAGTGGCGCTGGGCTTGGCGTTGCCGTCGTCGGTGTACTCGATGGGCTCGCCGGGATTGGCGAGGAGGGCCTCGTAGACTTCGGGCCAGACGCCCCAGGGAGGGCCGTGCTGCGAGAGGGGCTTTCCGGAGGGGAACTCGAGGCAGATGAGCTGGCCGCCGGGGGCAAGCAGCTGGGCCATGCGCTTTGCCCACCGGGGGCGCTCTGAGGGCTGGAGCGCGCAGAGGAACTGTTTCGTTGGGGGGTTTGGAGCCGTCAGCATTTTCCATCTTCATTTTCCATAGAAGCGGCGGGGGGGCATATTATAGAATTTTGAATTCTCGTTGCTCACCGTGTAGTCGTATATCAGGTCAAATTGGCCCTTGCCGCCCTCCCAGGCATCGCCGAAGAAGTCGCCCGACACCCACGTCACGCGGCCGCACTCGACGCCGTCCTCGACGGACTTGTACTTGCCGTCGGCGGCGGCCGTTTGCTGGTTCTCGCGGGCGAGGTCCTGGGCGCGGAGGCTGTAGTCGAGGCCGACGACGTCGTAGCCCAGCGAGCTGAGGAGCAGCACGTCGTGGCCGAGGCCGCAGCCCGGGATGAGGGCCGATCGGCGGATGACGGCGCCGGCGGCGTCGCGGAGCGGGTTGCCGCGGGGGTCGCGCTCGAGGGACGGCGGGATCAGGTCGGTGCGCTGGGCGAGCAGGTCGGCGAGGGCCAGGGACGGGCCGGCGCGGTCCCAGGGGTGGAAGGATTGTTGGTAGAGGGTGTCCCAGGTGTCGTTGTGCTCGGACACGGGTTTGGAGGCGAAGGACTCGCGGAGTTTGGAGGGAGTGTCCATTGGTGGTTTGTCTTGTGACTTTGTGTGTGTGTGTTGTTGGGGATTTTTGATCAAAAGGGGAGAGAGAGGGAGAGAGAGTAAGGGTAGGTGGGATATGGGAGGGGGGATATATATGTTGCTAGGAGATGGTTGGTTTATGCAAGGACGATGCCTGGGTTTTGGTGTAGTGGACGAGGCGAGCTAATTGACTAAATAGGTGCAGCATTAGTTTAGTACCGCTGCATCACATCATCGCGGCGGGTGAATGGACACTAATACAGCAAAAAAAAAAGTATTCAAACAAGCGCCACTCGTCAATCAATTCACTGCTGGCGGAAACGAGAGTTAGACTGGTTTGGGAATCAAGTGAAGATGCAGCGTTTGCACAACATGTTTGTCGAAAGAGTGCAAGTGAATTGATTTCGTGGGGATGCTTATGATACTATAGTAGGTAGTTGGCGGGGACGGACGGATCTCGGGGTACGGGGATGTCCATTCTCAGGGACTTGTGTTTGTATTGAGATGGATTGTCATCATATGTGAGAATTCAGAAATATGAATGATACATAATGCCGTATAATGATACTACATGAGATTTTATTCACATGTATACAATGCGAAATAAATGCCATCGTCCGTGTCTATTCCAATCACAAGCCATCAGACGAAAAAACAGTGAGTGAAGCTGTCAGTCAACCTACCAAGAAAAAAAAGAACGAAGCTGCGTATCGATAACGCCACGGGCTTGCTTAGGTGGGGCCCCAGAAAGAAGAAAGCCAGGATACCGCCTACCCAAAGCGGGCAAGCTCGGCACTACCGCCGTGAGCCTCGGCTCGAATGACATAACCGCCATCACCAAAGGTTGAGGATAATCTTACTGTTTTTCTTGTTTTCTTACCTCTTTGCGTCTTCTTTCAAATCAGACCAATTGAAAGGAGAATTTCTTTATAATAAACAACATAGTTGCACTGTGTCGTCATCATGGATGTCACCAATCTGTTCAGCGTCAAGGTAAAGTCATCCCGCTAAGAAACCTCCCCCCCATTATAGGCGCCCGTCGAACTAACTCACCAACGCGTTTCGCATAGGGCAAAGTCGTCCTCGTCACCGGAGGCACGTTTTCCTCACCCGAGATGGAAAAACCCCTAAAGCTGACCCGTCCGCAGGCGCCAAGGGCATCGGCCGCATGATCGCCGAGGGCTTCGTCGCCAACGGAGCCAAAGTCTACCTGACCGGCCGCGACGCCCCGGCCTGCTCGTCCGCGGCAACGGAGCTCACCAAGGTTGCCGGCCACGGCGGCTCCGCGCACGCCCTGCCCGGCAACCTGCAGGACCTCGCCCAGTGCCAGGACCTGGTGAGGCGCCTGGCGGAGCTCGAGCCCGAGGGCCTCCACGTGCTGGTGAACAACGCCGGCGCGGCGTGGGGCGCCGACGTCGACTCGTTCCCGGACCACGCGTGGAACAAGGTCCTGACGCTCAACCTGCACCGCGTCTTCACCCTGTCGCAGCTGCTGCTGCCGCTGCTGGAGAAGACGGCCACGGCGGAGGACCCGGCGCGGCTGATCCACATCGGCAGCATCGACGGCATCCGCGTGCCGACCGTGTCCAACATTGCCTACGCCGCCAGCAAGGCCGGCTTGCACCACATGTCCAACGTGCTGGCCAAGGAGCTGGGGCCGAGGAACATTACCAGCAACGTGCTTGCTTGCGGGCCGTTTGCCACCAAGATGATGAAGGCGACGCTGGAGGTGGCTGGAGACATGATTCGGAGCGAGGCGCCGTTGCGCAGGATCGGTACGCCGGAGGATGTGGCGGGAGCGAGTTTGTTCTTGGCGAGCCGAGCTGGGTGAGTATTTTCTTCCTTGCTTTTTGTCTTTTTTCCTTGCTTTCTTTTTTCCACGTGTTTGTGAGTCGAGGGGACTGACTTTTGATGTGAATTCAGAGCGTTCTGTAACGGAGCGTTGATTAGGGTGGACGGTGGCGTGTCCCATGTATCCAAGCTGTAAACGGGGACATGTGGATTTGATCACTGCAGTTGCTTTGATTCAAGCGGGAGAGGATGACGATTAATTCAGGAGGCGTCCATCGACAGCCTCGTACAAAATTCCATTAGCGTAGGTGCGGGTATTTATAGCTGGCTATATATATGCAAATGTGAGAGGGAAAAAGAAAAGGAAAAAAGAAAAGATGACAAGGGGGGAATAACACAAAAAAAGCAATGAAATCCCAACACAGCAGCCCGTATATGTACAAAGTCCTGACCTCCCTGTAGATCCAACACCGTCCCATCCATCTGATAGAACCCGATTAACCAAGTTTAAAAATAAAGAGACAGCACAAAGACTGAGCGCGCACCAAACTTTCTGACGCCGAAAATCTTCCCGTGTGTATGGAACGGACCCCCAAAAAGGATGTACCGCAAGTTGTAAAAGAAAAGGGGAGGAAAGGGGAAGCAAGTTTATCGGAAACCCATACGATGCTTTCGTGGGGGACGACCATCTCAGCATCGCACTCCTTCGCACCCGTTCCAGCAAGCCGAGCCGAAGATTGACGATAACCCGTCTCTTTCGGCCGACACATCTCTCAGCACAGGCGGCGTCTTGGGCGGCGAAGAGTTATTTGAGATATGAGATGACGTCAAAGGCCGGGTTTTATGTATTTGAACGATGCCACCAAATCAAATATTGAAATCGGCAAAGTCGCGCACCATGACGGCGGCCTGCGCGCGCTTGGCGGCCTCGGCGACGAGGGTGAAGTCCTTGAGGAAGGGCTCGGTCGAGGGGGCCTTTGTCTGGACGGGGGCGGGAGCCATGATGGCGGCGGAGGAGGAAGGGGATTGCCTGGTGGATGAGGAAGAGGACGAAGATGCGGAGGCGGCGTTGAAGGCGGAAGAGGCGTCCATGATGGTGTTTTGTATTTGAGGAGTTTTGGCGAGTGTGTTTTGGTTTGGTTGTTGCATGTAAGAGCGGCGATGATGAAACCAAAAAAGCCGAGAGTAAAAGCGACTAGACGTGGAGAAAATATGGGGGATCTGCGCTGGGGGAACGTTCGTCGTTACGAGTCCAGTTGGGTTTTCCAAGTAGTATGTATGATGGACTCCGGGGGGGAGTGTGGAAAGCGACGGCTTTTTATCCCGGACAGGGCGCTTTTTGGATGAATTCAGCCGGGAAGCTCGTTCGTGTGCCTAGTGACCGTTTTTTGCGTGGTGTGTGTGTGTGAGTGTGTCTGGTGGGGGGTCGGCTGCAAGCAAAGATGCTGAATCAGAATGTCTCACCCTTTGTCTAGAAGCGATGGGTAGAAGAAGAAGAAGAAGAAGAAGAAGAAGAGAAGGATTGAATGGTGATGGAGAAATCCAAAGGGGATTCAACAGTAACGGAGATAATATGGGGGGAGTGTGAATGGAATCAGGTTTGGGGAAAGAAGGGGAATAGAGCCAGTCTTTATCTAAACTTGACGAGTTCTGGATTTGTCGGCAGTGGACAGCGGAAACAGTGGACAGTGGACAGTGGACGGTGGACGGTGGGGGGGATTTTAATTCGGGTCGGTTTTCTTACCATGGGCTGGGCTGGACTTCTCACGCACGGTTATGACGACAGCGGTAGCCGCTAGCACGGGAGTACTTGAGCAGCGGTTCTACGGGGGAAAGGGACTTGTAGGGCATCCGGCCTTGCCTCGGCATGTGTTGTGCCGTATTGTGGTGGACGAGTCAAGATTAAATGGGAGATGGTTTATGGGGAGGGATTTGAATCTTGTTTTGTACTGATTCATTTCGTTATTTGCTTCCGAGTGAAGTGAAGTGATGTTGTTTGGGAGAGTGTACTGCACTGCTTACTCGACCGAGATGATACATACGCGCATCGATTCAAGAACAAGAACAAGAACAGACAACATAGAGACAAGAGACAAACCCCACGTTCTTCAGCGCGTCTTACAGCGCAGCATCACCGCCTGCTAACCACGTCGGTGCCCGTACCTACGCAGCCAACAGCAGTGTGGGGGGAGGTGGTTTCCAACGTCCATTCACAGCAGCGACTGTTTGTCATATCCGCATTTCCTCCTCTGGACTCCTTGTGCTTGGATTCGTTGCGATTTGAATTGTCACAACTCGGCTGCCGTGACACGCCGCGGCTCGGCCGAATGAGACGAGGCCACATTGTCCGCCTCTTGCATGAAGCCCGTGGGCAAAATGGGACGATAAACTAGACATACATGCGTCCATACCTTGCACAGTACAGCACATGGACATGGAACGTACAACGTGTAAGAAATCGAAGTCAAAGGCGAGCCTAGAAAAACGATCGGACAAACCGAACCCGATCTTCGGAGTACGTGTACAGCCAACAGCCAACAACAACGAACGAGACGGACTACTGTAACTCTGTAGGCAGAAGCATTTCCCATACCCATACAGTACCAATACATATCCTCCTCACCACAAACTTTGACTAGCCTCGTCTACTTGTTATGCGCCCATTGCTGGCAAACAAGCTGCTAAAGCCAGACTAGAATCCGGCCGGGCGATCTGCGAATGGCTGGATCCGGTCCAATGCAATCCAGGGTCCCCCCTCGGACTGTCCCTGCATCTCAAGTGTTCAGGGTCTGCGCTGTGCTGTCAATCTTCTTGCCTTGCCATGCCCTGCACGTGCATGAGCTTGTAACTGTACTGTAGCATCCGTATCATCGTATTACCGTACCTAGTAGTTGGTGGACGTGCCCTGCACTTCCAAACTCCGGCCGCTGCTATGCGAACGCAGTCTTCAAAGACAGCAATACCTACACACATACTCAAATCACGGACCCCAAACAACGGATCGCCAAGGAGCGGTCAAGGGCGATATTACTGTTAGTTGCTACCATCTCCCCATTCCCGAAACTAAACCTGGAAAATGGAGAGTCGGGGGGAGGAAGCGAACCAGGGAAGAAAAAACTTAGACAGCTGGGCCAACCACGGAAAACCCTCTCTCGTGTTTGTGTGGAGGTGAAAACGGAGTTTCGACACAACGATATGGCTTCATCTAGGGCCGATTGCAAAGGGGGTGAAGAAAGAAAGACAGAAAGAGAGAGAGAAAAAGCGACCAGCACATGCGTTTACACGACTCGCGCGGGTAATTTTTTTTTTCCCTTATTCGGCTTTCTTTTCTTATGACCGATCGTGTTGCATGGTACATGATACGGGCTGCTGCAGCTGTGGGTTGCAGTCCAGTTACATGACCTGATTTCTGATGCCGTGCTCGACAACCACGATATGATGCTGGCACTGCTGTAAGCAGCTTCAAACACCCAGCATCAAGCGATCCATGCACTCACCACCATTCTTCATCCCCCTCCAAATATGCCCAATACCTAATACAGTACTCAATTCTCCAAGTACTATCAATAATAAGCAACAAAAAATCATTCGGGGAAAAAACAGAGACCCTTGAAATCTTCCCCCCCACTCGGCGCCCGTCAATCTGCTTCCATCGCCCCACTCCCCCAACAAGACGAACGGAAAAAAAAGTTTCCTTTTTGTTTCCCAGACATGCAACGTCACCGGCCCCCGTCTCTTCTTCTTTGTTTTCCCTTTATGCTCCGAGATTTCTCCCGAACCCAACGCAAAGCTGGGTATTTTTTTTATGGACCCCCCCTTCTAGAAGCTCGGCCTTATTTTCCCTTTTTTCCTCTTTTCTTGCTGCCTGGTCTACTCACCAACAACGACTCAGCCTCAGCCTCGCATCGCCTCGTCGATTGTAGTAGCTGAAAGAGAGCCCTCCCCGAGAACGGAATTAGAAAAAAAAAAAAAGAGGGGTGCTCGTTCTTGAAACTCATCATCTCCCCCCCAATCAAAACCTCTCCAATACACACCCCGCCTCGGTATCTGGAGTATCAAACAAACCCCCCCCCCCCCCCCCCCGGACTTTTCTCTCTCTCTCCGCCACATGGCCGGCCCCCCGTCTCGCCCCGGCTGGTTCGCCGTCCCGGCCCCCGTCCGCGAGCTGTTCAAGCTCTTCCCCCTGACCACCCTCCCGGCCGAGTCTCTCCCCGAGCGAGCTCCCGAGCCGGCGCGTCCACGGCCGAGCCTGTACGTCTTTGCGCGGACGCTGGAGGATGCTCGCAGCGGCCGGCCGAGCTTCAACCCCCAGTGCTTGAAGTGGCAGGTGAGCACAAAGCATACAAACTATACAAGCCCCCCCCCCAACTTCAGCTCTTCGTTATCAATGGCAATATCGTGTAATTGCTCCTAACGTCTGCATCCCAACCCAACCAGACATTCCTCCGCATCGCCGGCGTAGACGTCCACCTCGTCCCCTCCAACAACCACGCCTCTCCCTCCGGCGCACTACCCTTCCTCCTCCCCCCAACAACAACAACAACAACAACAACACCAACAACAACAACATCCACCCAAGACAAGCAATCGACGAGCAATGCCGTGACAAAACCAACACTCCCCCTCACGGGCTCAAAAATCCACCGCTACGCCAAAGACAACTCCCCCAGGCAAACAACAACCTTCCCCGAACCTCCCCCCTCCCGCACCGAAGCCTACGAAGCTCTCCTCTCCCAAAGCCTTCGTCCCACATGGGTAAATGATCCCCAGTCCTCATCATTCATAAAAATTAAAAAAAAAAAAAAAAAAAAAAAAAAGCCTCTAGCTAACCTATTCTTACAAAAAGCTCTACGCCCTCTACCTCCACGACGCAAACACACCCCTCCTCAAATCCCTCTACCTCCCTCCCTCCCCCATCCTCCACCTCCCCTCCCTCCACGCCCTCCGCAACGCCGCCACCGACGAGATCCTCAAAACCACCCGCCGCCCCCTCGTCGATCCGCACCAGCTCCTCCTCGACGCCACCGACGCCCTGCGCTCGCTCTCCGCGCTGCTCGCTGACGACAACTGGTTCTTCGACCAACCTGAACCGGGCCTCTTCGACGCCCAAGTGTTTGCCTACACGTACTTGATCCTCGACGAGGCGTTTGGTTGGGCCGATGATTATTCGCTTGCGCAATGCCTGGCCAAGTTTGACAATCTAGTCGACCACAGGACAAGGCTGTACGAGAGGTGTTGGCCCGAGGCACTGGGGGAAAAAGTAAATACCAATTAAAGCACTCCTGCAATGTACAATAAAGAAACGCCATCCAAAGTAAAAAGGAGCAGGATGCTCTTCCATGTAAGGAAAAAAAGCGAGTGTAGCTCATCAATGCATCCATATAATCAACCAGACCCCTCGCCCTTTGGTCTTCAATAATACATTGGCTCTGTCTGATAAGAAGCTCAAATGTCTACCTTGGTCCTCAAGAGATCAACCCAGCCCAGCTCACCTTACCTTTCGCGACAGCCTCTTCCCCTGTAGCTTATACACAATGGCCCCAAGATCCCTCCACCGCAACCACACATCAGCCATTAATTTGACCCGTGCCTTGATTCTCCATTTGACGGGGGATGAACGCATTGCGTTGCGTCCGCTTGCTACCGGATTCCCGAGATCTAAACGCCTAAAGCAGACCAAAAAGAATGAAAGAAGGGAGGGGAAGAAAAGAGACGAAGCAAAAATTCAGATGAGAGAGAGGAGAAGAAGGGGAGAAGAAAATAAAATAAACCATCCTGGCACCAAAAACTCCAAAGATGCGAAAAGCCACACGAGGGGGCACCTTGAAAAGGGGGACGAGGAGGGAAAAAATTCGCTGTGCCGGTCAGCGTTCCGGCAGGAGAAGTCGTTTCTTCACGCCTGTTGAGACTGTTGAATGCTATCTACCACATCCTGTAGCGAGACAAATGCTCCTGGGCCGCCATCCTTTCGTAGTTCTTCCAGCAGCACGCTGGTCTGCGCATATAGCGTTTCCAGCGATGCCCGCGATGACTTCCCTAGCGATGCTAAATGACTCAATGTTAGATGGTATCTCAAAAGCATGGACAAAAAGAAAAGAAACCCACAGAGTATGGCAGAATTCAGCTCTTCTGCAACCGTCGCCCGCCCTTTCCCATCCAGCAGGTGGCTAACTTGCGGCTCCTTAAGCGGGTTTTTGTATGCCACCGAGGCCCAGATTTCGTTGAGCGACTTGCCAATCTCCTTCCTAGGGTCTTTAGCATACTCGGCCTGCAGGGCCTTGCCATAGTTTAGCATCTTATTTTCCAACTTGGTCAGCTCCGCGCCGTGATCCCCTCCATCCGTCTCCATGTTGTCTCCCCACCCGTGGCTGCCGTTGACATCCAAGTCCATCTCTTGGCCCAGCTCAGTGCCCCGTATGGCGTCGTACTTCATTCTCATCTCGGCAGCCCTTCGCACCATCTCGGTGAACTTGCGACACCGTAGCTTGAAGTATACCTGCTCGTTGTCGCAGAGGACTGTCGGATAGTACGTATTGGTGTAATCGAGCGCTTGGTCTATCTCTCCGTCGAGTATCGCTCGCCGAATCCCTGATCAAGGCGTCAGCAAAGACTTGACAGAGGCACGCTCTAGCAAAAAGGCGGCATGGACTTACGTTGTCTGTTGTTTGCGTCCTCGTCGTCCTTAATGTTGAGGCCGTCCACTGTCACGTTTGGATTCAGGTTCAGGGCCTCCTTTTGCAGCTTCATATCCTCTGCAAAAGCCCGGGCCGTCTCCACGTAGCCATCGTGTTGGAGAAACTGCAGCACTAGCGCTTGAATGAGATCTGTCTCGTTCATGCCTGGCTCAAGTTGCGAAGTATCTGCCTGCTGAATGGCATTCTGGATGGTTTCTCGTTGTTCCTGTTACACGCCGTGTTAGTGCCCTCTTGTGCAATCGCCGAGACGTTACAAAGCAAAGGTGGCTGGCTTCTGTGCATACATTCATCATGTCATCAATGTTGTAGACAAATGGCGACTGCCCAAAATTGACGGAAATTTCCTCGCCCTGCTTTTTCAAGCTGATGGTCGGGTATAAACTGCTCCTGGTGACGTCGTGAAATGCAACCCCTGTTTGGTTTCAGGCATGTCTCGTTAGCCATTTATTGCAGATATGCGGGCGGCACCGCAGACATTTCGCAAACACGTACCAAGCATCTGTCCGTTTTTGGTGAAGAATGCTGTGTGGTCTCGAAAGTTGACTCCGCACCCGATCACGTCACCACTGTTAAACACCGGGCCAAAAGGCCTGCCAATGTTTTGGCCTGTAAAACACCGGCCGTCGTCACCGTGATATCCCCAAGATTCCGGCTCCCAACCGACAGGCCGTGATAGTGCAGCGTTTCTGGTAGAAAATCCAACGGCAATCGTCGTGCTAAATATTGGAAGAGTCACGGTCAGTGGTACGCTTATCAACGGCAAGGCCCACCTCCAAGGCAAGGGGGAAGGAGCGCCCTGTTACATACTCGTCTCGTTTGCCCGAAAGAATCGTCACCTCGTAGTAGTATATCCCACATTGGGGAGGCATGAAATTGTCTGCCCGGATAGCGCTTGCCTCGTGGTCGCGCTCGTGGTGGCTCTTAGGTCCAGCATATTTAAGCCCGAGCAAGTTTGGCGTCACCTCTATCGACGTCCACATATCGCCTGGGTTCCAATGGATCGGCAGAGGGGCTAGGCTGTCATCGCCATCGTACGGCGTTCTCTCCAAGACGGAGTGCAGTATGCCTCTATGTCCGCCGGGAGGTAGGGGCGTCGTGCTAAGACCAGGAGTGCTGAGATCCTGCCCGTTCCCTGTGGTCCGCTTGCCCTCCTTCTGAGCTTCTAGCTTGGTATTGTACGCCTCCTCCAACTTCTGAACGTATGTCGACCCCTTGAGATACGATGGCACAAAGAACCGGTCGTCACTGGCATCCACAGAAAACATGTCAAAAGCTCGAGAAAAGGACGGCAAGCTGCCGGTCGGCCTCCACACGTTGGCCATGTCGCCTTGAGCTGCCGGATTATCCATTTCAGTCGAGGTTGCGGCCGGCGCAGGCCCAAGACGGAGCGAGGGGTCGAGGAGCAATTCACCGGTGGCGTCTAGCACGGACGTTCGGGCAGGATGCGTGTAAAAGTTGTAGCTGCCTCCCTCACCGGGAGGAACGGGGTCGTGGGTGGACGTATACTGGTGTTGGTAATCGAGGGATTCAGCAGACGATTCCGAGTCTGTGAAACCAGATGAGCCATGCGGTTCCGGACTAGACATGACGAGGCAAAAAGGAAACAAAGGGAGAAGGACAGGCAAAAGGCAAAGGCTCAAGGGGGGGGAGGAGAGGGATTGGGGGGGTCGTGCCTGGCAAGCGAGCAGCTCAGCTACTGAAGCAGCTTCCAACAAGCTTCAGTCAACGCGCCGCTCGTTCCAGGTCCGGCGTCGGTATACAAGGCCCCGTATACAGAATGTCCGGAGGGATGCAGTGACGCTGGAGGTGGGATTTGCAGCGCAACCACGAAGGCAGGGAGGATTTTCCAACTCGGTGATGTGCAGTATCAGAGGAGGCAAGGAGAGATCGGCCGGGCCAAGATAACGGCGTATCGAGGGAGGGGGGAAACGGCGAAGCGGGCCGGCACGCTGATAGTTGAATAGCAGCCGCCTTTGCAGCACGAGTTTGGCGCTGGACTCCAGAGGACGGCAATGGCTCTGGGCGGTCTCGAAGGGAGCAGAGGCGGAGGGCTGGCAAAGGCTCGACAAGCTGGCTCTGCTGTTGGGCGGAAGCGTCGTAGTTGTCATTGATCGGGTGGAGTTGCAAATGGAACGGCAACTTTGCGGTACGGGTAGCTGATCAAACCACGTCGAGACGCTGTCATGCACGCTCTAGCACTATCACTCGGGTCCTGTTAGTGGAGCCGCCAGTGGGCAGCGTCTCGCCTGAGCCTGGCGCGGCGCAATTCTGTTGGCAGCTTAAGCTTCAGGCGACGCATCACGGGGACATGGAATGCTTCAGCGGCCCGAGACATTTATTTCCAAGGAACTACTATCTACAGTATACTCGTGCTATGATGTGAATGCCTGTATGTGTGTATGTACATGCATTTGATCCGCTATCCGAGCCGGCATCAGAAGCTCAAGTTGCTTGCATCGGCTGTATGCTGCACTACCCGGAGTACATCCAGACACCACCTACAATGGTGGCGGCCGTGAGATTTACAGCTAAGGTACTCGTATGACGGGCTGATGGGGACTAAGGTTTGGATAGTTCACAAAATCAGCCAAGTGATTTGTTAGTATATTATTATTTTTCATATAGAATGAGCGTTTACTGATAAAGTAAAGGCAGTTTGATAGATGTCAGTACCTGAGCAGACAGACGGCATATGTACCTAGTTGAAATTTCATTTTTGTCAAGTTACAACTGTGTGTCTGTAGGTACTGTCTTTTATCAGCATGCCTTTCCTCGCCTCATTGCAAGACAGGCAAGCAGCAAAAGCAAAAGCAAAAGCAAAAGCACATGTCTCAGCCATTTGCCAGCTCGCCAGCCACCTCCGCCTTATGATGGCATCCCTCAAATCGGCATAGTCAGCCACACCAAATGACTAAGCCGCATAAAAGCACGCGATGTCCAACTTCCGCTCACTCTCTCAAAGCTCTCACAATCCCAAGCCAACTCTCAACAGTGAATCACGAGCAACTTCCAAAACAAAACATTAAAAACTTAACTGAAGCAAAACCCTCCTTCAACAACCATCCCGCATATTAAACGCAGGGGAAATCATACAACAAACGAGAGAGGCCCGAAAAGGCGACCAACCGCCGGCATGGGCAAAAAAAAAGAATTGTGACTGATAATGTGATGCAACGTCGAGCTAAACCCGAGTGAAAAACTGAAACTAGGAGAGAAAATGCTGGTTACCTTGCCTGGGCCACGACGCCACCCCGTTCGAACGAGCTGAGCCAAGAACGTGTGAACAAGTGTCGTGTCGATAAATGGCTCACCCCCGGCGCAAGGTAAGCTGGGAAGTTCAGGCAAGGAGTTTAGATTGAGCTGAGGCGCATGCCGACGGCGCGCTTTAGCCTACTTGTGCAGATACATTACAGAAATGTGAATGTAGATGTAAATCGAAATTGAGGCGATGGACGTCGGCCCTTGGCTCTCATGGGAATGATGATGCCGTCGTGGTGGTATATGTTCCTGATTAGAGAGACATGAGATTGCACAGCGCTGCCTGCCTACCTACCAAAGTATTCACCGATTCCCATGCAGCGTAACACAGCCCGCTTGCAGCGGCCTGGTATAGTAGTATTTAAACATTTACAACAAAGACATGTCTTCACCGCTTCTATTCACAACAATCAACCTGGAGAAAGCGGCGGAAATAAGCCATAAGAAAAATAATTGTGTTGCCGCAGCCGGCCAACAATGCCATCGTATCTACTCTTGAACCCTGAGCATACCCTTACATACATGCAATTACGCCGACAATGATCCCGTTACTCCCGTCTGCGCAGATCCTTCGAGGACCGGCAGAATGTTTCCCCCCAGCCAACGCCAGCGACGGCAGTGTCGCTTTGTAAAAGACAGGCTATTATCAAAGATACCCGAGTGTACCGTCCTCGGAGCCAATGAAACAGAAAGCAGAAACCCGAGCCCAATTTTTTTTCTAGGTTTGGAACAAAACAGTGCCCAATGTAGGACGGAAGAGAAAGAAGAGAAAAACAAAGATGGGGGGATAAATCAAAGACAAAATGAGTAGATGAAGAAAGTGGGTGGCGCGTAGGCTAGAGTGAAAGAAAAGAAGAAGAAAATCTCGGAAGCCAAGGATTATGATGCTGCCGCCACAGCAATGGGCGCTGGCGACGAGTCTTGGATGCTAGGCGCGCTTTGCATCTCGACGTCAGGACCGCTGTTGCTGTTGGCAACACTGTTGCCTTCGTTTCCGGTTTCCTCTTTGTTCTCCTTGTTGCTACCTTCAGCCGACGGGGCAGCAGAGTCTTCGGCGCTGGATCCGGGATTGGTTCGCGGAGGCGCAGTCCATCGTGGGATTTCCCAGGCAACTCCTGTAAAACTCTTTAGTTTGAAGCCGCCCCTGGCCCACTTCCGGCAAGGCTTGCCAGACCGGTCGAGGGCTCGAAGGCCCGCGTTGATGGCTCCTTGGTTTGCCTTGGGACCAAGCTTATGGGCAGACGGGCGAGCCGCCGCACTGCTGTGGTCGATGGTGCCATCCTCCCTGCATTGAGACGACGAAATTAGCATGCTGGGTTAAGGATTCATTGCTGTTGAACGCCGTGGGCGTGATTATACTTACAATCGGGGTTTCTTCTTTGGGCCCGGCTTGCCTCTGGGCTTGGGAATGCCGTCTATGGTGCCATTTGCAGCCGCCGCAGATCGCTTGACTCCCTTCTTCTTCGTTCCATCGGGGGGTCCCATTGGCGTTGGAGCAGGTGTGGTTTCAGCGGCCGGCGTAGCGGCATTTGAGTCGGATGCGTTGTCGACATTCGAGGCCGCCGTAGACACAACCAGCGCGCTTGGGCTGGCCGGCGACTCTTTAATTTCCGAGTTCTCCTTTGAGCTTTTGGAGTCTGGGGATTGAGTCTCCTCGTCAATAGACACCGAGGGAAAGAGGTCGCGTAGCAAAGCCGGCGACACGCTGAGGGTGACGAGCAAGCCGTGTTTGGTCGCCGATTTGCGTCGGCCGTCGGCAGCCTTGGAGGGAGGCATCGCGTCTTGGTGGAGGCGTTTGGAATGATTATGATTCTGCAAGAGCGAGGAGCAGGCAAGGCAAGGCAAGGCAAGGCAAGGCAAGGCAAGGCAAGCCTGTCTTGATGATGCCGATGGTCAAGCGGCCCGACGACGATGAAAGATTTTGCGTCGGCAATGGCGTGGTGGAGCGATGCTGACGGGTGCGGCGGTGGTGATGGCAGAGGGCTGGTGATGATGGAGAGGAGCAAAAGTACGGAGGATGACGGGAAGGCCGCGCAGGTTTTTTGGCGGTGCTCTGAACCACGGGCGATGGGCTAATACCTAAGGTTGGTGGTGATCCGGCGTGGTGGTCAGGGGGTCTGGGGGCCTTGCGTGGAGCAGCAGCAGAGAGGCAACTCTGGAACTCTGGACTATATTAGCAGGCCGGCGGTGATAGTGTCATGTCCTGAGCGCAGGTGCATCGCGGTCTGAGAGAGAGGAGAGGCGAGGGGAGAAAAAGAGGCGGGAGGCGGAGGGATTTTCATTTTCTGGGGTCTTGTCTCGTAAGGTTCGGGGCTTTGGTCTCATCCTCGTTTTTTTTTTTCGGGCCAGAAGGGCGGCGGCGCACAACGCAAAAAATCGGGCAGCCCAGAGGTTTCTTGTTCGTCAGGACCGTGACGCTCCAACACAAAGGGCGAGGGGTGGAAGATTCAGGTGCCGCGCTTAGTGGCGACCCCGAACAGGACTAGCGCAAGCGGCAGGCCAGTCCTGAAGGGGTCCCATTTGGGATTTTAGGTGGCAGCTCAAGCAGTATTTTTGATTTTCCTCGCAATATCCAAGCATCCGGCGGGCCAATCAGGAGCTAGTCTGGCTAGCCCTGCGACGGACTGGGAAAGGTTGATCCTGGGCGCGTCTGATAGGTCGCGTGGGATTAGGTAAGGCGGCTTGTTGGAGCAGCTCCTTTGTACCTTTCCGTTGAGCTCGCAGGGCAAAAGTACGAGCACAGCGCAGCCTCGAGGATGTTTCCCTGGAAGTTTGCCTTGGGCATCGCACTGGATTGGATTGGATTGGATTGGATCCTCTCGCCCTTCTTTCTCACCACCGCCAAAAACGGGCTTATTCCAGCCCTCTCCAGTTAACCGAAGCCGGCGTCCCACTGGCAATCACAAGCCGCCGTTCGCCAAATTTCGGTTTCGGTAGCGACGCAAAAACGCTTTCTCAGAGAGAAACTCGAGGTGCTGCTTTTTCCTCTGCCAGTAAGCCTAATACCGGGCTGCGAGCTTCGCTTTGCTGCTTTATCCGTCTCCCGATGCGCAGAGTGTGTATCTACGGTCGCTGTGCATTGGGATGGGGCTTCATGGCGAAAGCATCTACTACTACCTAGGTAGGTAGATGATTGCCCGCGCCATTTTGAAACTATCGAGGCCCATTTCGCCTCCGTACAGTGCTTTTCTTTTCCAAACCAACATAACCTTGGCTCTCGGGATAGTGTTGCAGCTAGGCGCAGTGCATTGCCGCCAGCATGGCTTTATTTCGGGAGCATCATCATCATTCTGCATCTCCTAGGCGGGGGTTCCGAGTGTGTATCCGTACCCTAGGCAGTTCTCCCACGCGGACACGCAGCCAACTTGCTCATTGATGACTCGTCCAATATTCCACCGGCTTCTACACGCAATCCGAACTTACCGACGATATCTCACCATGTGCGCTGCCCAATCTGTAAAAGATATCGACGTCATCTGATGCGCTGAGTAATTAATTTGGTTCCAGTTTGCGTTTTTGGTCAATCATCTCCCAAAGTCCGTTGTGCGATAATGGGGTGGAAATTTGTCCTCTGCCGACGAATTGGCCGTAGTTGAGTCTTCATCGACAAGAACTGAAACCCTACTCCGTAGTCACTGTTACAATGGTTTCGAAGAACAGGTGCTCGCGCGTCGAGATGTTCATAAAAAGGCTTCTTCCCGACCTTGGTAGCCATCATATGGTCGTAAATCTTGCTGTAATAACTGTGAATTCAACCAGCGAACCAGACATGCTTGATCAACCAAAGGGGTGTGATCGATGGGTAGTTTATTTATTGGCCCTCCCACAATCAAGGACCTGGCTTTAGAATTAGTGCTAGAGACGAAAATGCAACCATCAAGGACGTGCCAGGCGCGCAACCGATTATTTGCTTTATAATAAATAATATAAAGAGGTTTTAAAGTAGCTGTTCTAGATATAAACAATAAGTTGACTTACTTAACAGCTTCTTTAACCTACTACCTCTACTACCTCTACTTAAGGCCTTTCGTATAAAGGAAGAGTGGGCAAAGGACTCTATACGTATGCCAGCTGCCATGCCCAAACACCCAAACGAATCACAGATTGGCAATTAAATTGCTTCTTCCGAGACACTGTTTCATCCAACGCATCGTCGTGGATGACTGGAATCCAGGGTCTCGCAACAAAATGGAGTCTGGTCGCCATCCCAGCTGCTGGAATGTTGTTGCTCCTCACAACGGCCCACCGGCCTCAGAAGGTATATATCCTGGGTAAAAAGGCTCTCGATCTGAACGACTGCCAAGCCGATTCGTTGCAACTACTTCTTCATCTTTCTGGACCTCAATTATAGTAAAGCTCATCAACACTCACCATGGTTCTTCTTGAGCATCTTCCTCTCATCGGGCTCGCCTTGAGTCTTGCCCACCACCACAACCACGCAAGATCATCTCATCATCATCCATCTCTCCCAAACCACAAACCCGCTGCCCAAATATCTGCCGACGCATCACCCTTTCATCAAGCTCCGAAGCTAATTGCTGCTCGAGCATCAGATGAGGCCCAAGAGACCACAATCCAAGTTTCTCAGCACCACCTGCAGACCATCCTCGATAAGATCAAGACCCTTGAAGAAGAAATCTTCAACATGATGTCATCCAAAGCTGACTCTTCTCTGAATTTAGGTTCTACGCCCGCAAGATATGCTTCAAAGGATTCTGCTGCTACGGCGCCTGCAAAGGCCGAAAAGCTAGTCGTAACAACGCACGAACCAGAGACAAACCCAGCAGGTAAGTTTCGTAATGGGAAATGACTTGTCGAGTTTAGATGCTGATTCACGCTCTAGTAGCCATCTTTGGGGGCTTATTCAAAGAAGCTTCCGTCGGCCTGGACACTCCAGCTATATCTGACGATAAATCCACCACGATAATCACATCAACTACTCGGATCACGCGAACAGTCACCGTAGTGCCCACAGGAATTGTCACGGTGACCACGTTCCCATCCCACCTTGCAATGGTGAGTCCGTGGATTGCCGTCTAGAAGGGCTAATGATGCTAATGCGGGCCTAGGAGAGCAATCTCAAGGCTTTGATTCCCTTTGTCAATGCGACAGCAGACGCAGACCCGCCGAGAACAACCTTGAGTATTGACACCCTGAGCGGTCATCGTGTCCGGCTTCTCAATCTGTCATCGATATCGACATCGACATCGACATCGACAGGCGTTGATGCGGAACGGGGACGGCCTACAATCACGGCCATGGCTTTTAATGCTTCAGCAAGCTTTCATCGGGTATCGCTGTCGGCTGCTTCAAGTGGGTTCAGAACCCTCCGGAGAGCTGCTTGAGGTGCCTTGGAAGACGATGGAAGGGATGGTGGGATAGCGGGGAAGAGAGGGGGGACTTATGAAAGGAATGATAGGAAAGCAAACATGAAAGAGAAACTGCGAGAGAGAAACATGACGAGAAGGCGTTTGGATCGGCACTTTGTTTCCTGTCAATGTACGCTAATATATGTTCGGAGTATTGGTTGATTCTTTTCACTCTTCTTTTGCTTCTTGTTTCTTGTTTGTAATGTCTATTACCTTGGTCTCATGTATATTTCCTGTGGGACCAGGAAATCTTTTTTCCACGCTCTCCATCCAACAACTTGCCCGATTCTAAACGAGCGAATCACGTCTTTTCCATTAATCAACGCTCCGGCCTAATCACCGACTGCCGGAATCTTGTTACGTTTTAGTGCTCCCCTTTGTGCCTGTACGAGCAACGGAAGGCGCACTCGGGGGTTGCACGGAACCCGCCCACTTTTCGAGATACCTCTGCTGCGCGCCACGCACGCTGCGGACAGCTTGTACCTGGGTTGGTCGACGAAGCAAGGGCCGGGTCCGATCTCGTCTGTGGCCGGAATGATTCCGGCCAATGGTCCAGTAAAAAGGCCGGTCAGTATCGGTAGCCTGTGGGGCGAGCAGTGATGAGGCCGGCCCCTCCCCCACAAAAAGCTGAAGCTTGTCTTACTGGCTTTTAGGGGCTTATCAGGACGGGACGGGAAGTTCTGCAGGGACAGAGCGGAAAGGGCAAGGAGCATATCACAATGTTTCACGTGTAATCGGTTGTAGCCTTGGGTGGATGAATGCGAGTCCATCTAGAGTGCCTTGTGCTGCTGAGCATCCATATCCCTACCGAGTACCTATTCAGTATCTCATACACACTCACAGTTGTATGTGTACAAGGACATGATGTAAGTGTGTGTAAGAGACAGTATCTGCACAAGCCCGTCACACACGGCCCAACGTCGCCCTTCGCTGGTCATGCTTCCCCCTTGCCCGCCCCGGTGGTCGGTGTCGAGCACAAGAGATAACGGCGCCTGCTCGTTTCTGTTACGTGAAGTTACGCAACTAGCTTCTCCGACACCTTCCTCTATCAGTGCCAACAAGAGTCTCGACCCGCTTGCGCCGCCGTGCGTCGTGACCCCATCCCCACCCAGTGGCCGGAATCCATTCCGGCCACCGGGTACTTAGGCGGCGGCGCGGACCCGGACTGACGATGAGAGAGCCCCGAAACTCTCAGACTCTTCAGAGCGAGCTTGACTCTTTGCCACCTCTTGTTGATACCACTCTTTGGCTTTCTTTGGCTTCGTTGCCCTGAAGACTGCGCTCTCAGTCAGCCGTTATACCACTTACACCACATCACTTACACCATCAACCACTTACACCTTTTCCCCCATCGCCTCACACTACCTCACATTACCTCGCCACAACATCACCATTACACAATGGGTTCTCTCTCAACAAGCACGCCTCCCTTCGAGGTCCTCACTGATGCCCGTCCCGATGACAACTCCCTGCCTGCCTTCTTGGTGTCTACCACCAGAGGCTTCCTCCCTCGTGCAGATCCCATTGTCACCCTCCCCAAGGAGTTTGAGCCTCTCGAGTCCATCCTCCAGCGCATGCCCGTCAAGACTCTGTCTGGCGAGCCCGGCCTTCTTGCCCATGGCAAGCTTGGTGATGAGGTTGACTCCGGTTTCCCCGACCTCACTGATCACATGGATCTCTACAAGGATAACCTTCCCCTGATGAATGCCCTGTACCGAGACTACTCTTTCCTTGCCTCAGCATACCTCCTCGAGCCTTGCCACCTGCGCTTCCTCAAGGGTGAGAGCTATGGCTTGGGACGTCAGACTCTTCCCAAGAACATTGCTCGTCCCATTGCTCGATGCGCTGAGCTGTAAGTCACATCTCGTATACGCCATGTCAACAGGGAATGCACGCTAACCTATCATCATAGCACTGGCTTCATGCCCTTCATGGAGTATGCTGGCTCTTATGCACTCTACAACTACCGTCTGGAGGATCCCTCCAAGGGGCTGGAGTATGACAACATCCGTCTGATTCGCGCTTTCGAGCACGGTCTCGACCCTACTTCCTCCGAGGCTGGCTTCGTTCTTGTCCACATTGACATGGTCAGAAACTCGGGCCCCCTCGTTGCGGCTACAGTCCGCTGTCTGGAGGAAGCCTCCAAGGCTGCTTCCGGCCCCGGCAGTGTCGAGGAGCGCAAGTCTTTCAACGAGGGCCTTTCTGACATTGTCACTTCTATGAAGAAGATCAACGCCGTGATGGAGACCATGTGGGGGAAGTCCCGTCCCAGAGACTACACCAGCTTCCGCACCTTCATCTTTGGCATCACGGCCCAGTCCATGTTCCCCAACGGCGTCGTCTACGAAGGCCTCTATGATAACAAGCCCATGTCGTTCCGAGGCGAGTCTGGCGCCAACGACTCCATGGTGCCCCTCATGGACAACTTCCTGCAGCTGCCCATGCCCGATACGCCTCTGACCGCCATCCTGAACGACTTCCGTGAGTATCGTCCCAGCAACCACAAGACCTTCTTGCAGTACGTCAAGGGTCGCTCTCTGGAGCTGGATCTCAAGACGTATGCTCTCGGCTACAAGGGCGAGCCCGAGTCAGACGAGGTCAAGGAGCTCCTCCGCCAGTCTCGCAGCCTGTGGATCCAGATCCTCAACGAGGTGCGAGACTTCCGCTGGCGCCACTGGTGCTTCGCCAGGGAGTACATCCTCAAGCAGACATCTCACCCAACCGCCACTGGCGGCAGCCCCATTGTCACTTGGCTCCCCAACCAGCTGGAAGCCGTGTTGGCGGAGATGGTGGACGTGCACGACAGGACCAAGGGCCACCACAAGAACGGCTTAGGCAAGGTGGCCGAGGAGATTATGGAGGCGGCACTGCGACAGAGGGATACCCTGCGGAAGGAGGTTGACAAGTTTGCCGCTGAGAGAGGCGTCGCCAGAGGGTAAGGGAAATTGGATTAGGATGGATTGATTATACCAGGTTGGATTTCTTTATGAGTGTTTTGCCAGAAGTTGTATGATAGGATGGCCATGTTGGTTGTGGTTTAGGTATTGGGTTCACATGTGTAAGCTGGTAGTTTAAAAAAAGACTGAACTTGGGTGTCGTTACAAATGTTGAAGCTTGTGATGTTCCTCTCTGTCCTTTTGCGTAGTGAAATAAGCACTTGCTCCTAAATCGCCCAACACGGATCGCCTTAGCAGTGCACCTATTCCCAAACACACCTAGAACAATCACCATCAGCAAACACATGTGGTTCGTCCAGAAACCAAACGTCGGCATCCGGAAAAAAACCCTCCCATTTGACAAAAGTGTCTCGTGAGCGTTGAAGCGGGGGTCCAACACCAGGACAGACGCCCGTTCATGCAACAATAAATGAAGTCGCATCCACAGCACGCCCCGGCCGCATCCACTCGCGAATCCATCCACAATCAGCATCCTCTTTGGTTTTTTTTTTTTTTTTTTTGATGGGAGGAAGAGGGGAGCCAAGAGGCCGAGCTTCCGTTCGATTGAACCCCAAATTCTGACCGAAGCAGGAAATCACGGCATTCTCAGCAGTGGCCAGCGTGACTTGCTCACCGCATCCTTGGCTTCATTTGGACGGGACGGATTCCATGTGCAGCGCAGTGCAGCCCTCGGCCTTTTTTCTTCTTGATTCCCTTTTGCAATGGTGCCCTTTTTTTTTTCAATGAGGATGCAGCGGCATGCATGGATGAGCCGCCGGGCTGGCTGATGTCGGGGTCCCTCTTTACATTAGTCTGCTGTCGTCTATATGAATCCTTGCACGACAAGGGCCACAAGGCTGGGCGCGCAACAATTGCCAACGTAGCACTCACTTTTTCATCTTTCCTCTTTCACCTCTTCTTTTTTCTTTCTCCCCTGTTGGTAGAAGCCTTCTCTCTCTGCTGGGAGGAATCGATCCGAGCAAAAGCGAAGAGGTTCATCAAAAACTCACAACGGGGACAGGAAAAGGATGCCCCCGTCGCCCAACCAACGATGAGGCTCCTCCTCATCCTCCCGCTCTGCGGCCTCGCCATTGCCAGCGCCGCCAGGGACCGGTACGCAGCTCTGCAAATCGTCCCCGATGGACTGACGCCGCGATACTTTGTCGATAAGTCGCATCCGCTGTTCAAGCGCGAGGGATCATGCGGCGACAACGCCCACAGCTGTAAGACGTTGACAACCTCTCTCTCCAGTTTCATCACCATTGGATTTTTCATCATAACTTGGACATTGCTAATCTCACTTGCGCAGGTCTTGACATTGGTCACGGTGATCGCTGCTGCAACAACAACAGCTACTGCTACAAAAACACCTCCGACGAGCCCAGGTGCTGCGCAATCGGCCAGGCCTGCACCTCGGACAACCCCTGCCCGGCCACCGCCGTCCGCTGCTCCGTCACCCGCACAGTTACCATCACATCCACCTCGTCCGCCGCCACCACGACGACCTCCAGAGCGCCCGTCGTCACGCGGACAACCACCACCGTCCTCACCGGCTGCTGCGGCCGCGCCTGTCCCCAGACGAGCTTCTACCTCTGCGCCTCCTCGCTCGGCGGCAACTGCTGCCCCTTCGACTCCAACTGCCAGGCCGGCGGGCACTGCGTCTCGACAAAGACGAGCCCGCCCCCCGGTCTAACTCCCGTCGCCGAAGGCTGCACCACCGGCCAGTTCCGGTGCGCTGACGGCAACGGCTGCTGCAACAACGGCCAGGCATGCACTTCGTTCGCCGGGTCGGCCTACTGCTCCACCGCAACCGGAGGCCCGACCAGCACCCTCGTGGCCGGCGGCGACGACGGCTCCGGCTCCGGCTCTTCATCGTCCGGGGGCCTCTCGCCCGGGGCGGAAGCGGGCATCGCCGTCGGCGCGGTGGTGGGCGGCGGCCTCGTCGTCGCGGCAGCCGTGTGGTTCTATCTCACCAAGCGGAGGGCCGCCGCAGAGCATCACGTATACAACGACGCCTCCCTACAATCCGGAGGCGCAAGCGGTGCCGCCCCGGGCGAGATCCCCATGACTAACACGCAGCTGTCGCCTCAGGCCCAGCAGCAGCGCTGGACAATGGTCTCCTCCGTCACGCCGTCCGGCGCCGTGACCGACGCGGGCACAGTCAGGTCTCCGTCCTCGGCCCCGGATCCCGTCGAGCTCGCGACGGACCAGCGGATGGAAGTGGAAGGCTCCGAAGTGCTTTCACCCAAGTCCGGCGTCAGCAGCATGGCTTTGGCGGACATCCGAGCGCCGGAGACCACAGACGGACGATTTGAGCTACACGGGTCGGACGGGTTATGGCCACTCCCTTCGCCAACCAGCCCCTTGCCCAGTCCGCCATTAGACAGTCCGCCATTGCCCAGTCCACCATTACCAAGCCCTCCAATGCCGGATCATGATCCAAATTCTCGCCCAGGCCATGAACAGCCTTAATAGCTCAAGGAAATTCTTAATGATTAATGGAGAGAGAGATGTTTTGGGGTATAAATGCCCATCTATTGAGTAAAACGCCTAGCCTGGTAGTACACAACACCTTCCAAATTCATATCTTGAAGATACCCTCCCATCGTAATGGGAGAGAACAAGAAGGCAAAAAAAAAAAAAAAGAAGAAAAAAATTGAACAAAAATTCCTTGCATGAATCTTTCTCATGCTCGCAGCCATTCCATGTAAGTGACTGCAGATCCCAAACGCCACAAACCCCAAACCCAATAGCGAGGCTAGCTCGGGGTATAAGAAAAGAATAGAATGCGATGTGCTGAAGCAAGATGCTCCAGGGGGCATTGTGATGATGATCAATGAAAAACAAAACCAAAACAAAAAGAAAAAAAAAGAAAAAAAGAACTCAAACGTTTCCTTCAGCCCTCATCCATTGCGTCGTATGCTGGTACCAGCTCAGCATACAATACCGCCAAAAGGCGCGCAGGTTCTCAGATCCTTGACCAAGTCTTCCACACTACTAAGATGGCGACTCAGGAGCTGCTGCTTCTCCGCCGTGGTCAGCGTCATGACCCCGTTGCTGTTGGCACGCTTGCGGCCGTTCCTACCGTCGACACCATAGGCGCCAACAAGCTTCGAGGGGCTGCGCTGGAAGACAGATTCCCGCTGGTCAGGGCGGGGAGGCGAGGGTGTTTCGGGCATGAGATAGAAGTAGAGGAATTCGACAAGCTTGAGCTTGACCTCACGAGAGGTGGATCGCGATTTGAAGAGAGACGTAACGGTCATGAGGCCGTCAAGCCCTTCGAAAGTGCGTGTGTTGTTGGGCGTGTCGATGAGAGCGACGACGAGAGTCAACAGAGTAGCGGACTGGATCGCCGGGCAGTTGTAAGGTTCGAGGAGATCCAACAAGAGCTGCGAAAGGGTAAGCTCGGATATTCATCCTAAGAGCCTTGGAGGATTCACGGCTTACATTCATATTTTGTTCCCGCGCAAAGAGAGACTTGCTAGGAGGGTGCAGCAGGGTGACGCCTTGGATCAGGTCAAGCGCACTGAGGATGAGCAAATCGTTCTGGCCGTCGCTGCCCTTGGCCATGAGCCTATCCAGCGTGCTGATGAGGCGCATGGCAACATTCCACTCGAATCCCTCCTGCAGCTTGAAGAACTCGCGAAAGGCCGGGTCCTGGGTGAGCTGGGCGAGATCCTTGCGAGGGGCCACGGCAGAGGCATCGTCGTCGTCGTTGGGCACCGTCGAGGACAAGGAAGAGGATCGTCCTCGCCCCGAGGATGCGTTTGACAGGCAGATTTGCGCCAGTAAGCCTTCTACCTGGCGCAGACCCTTTCGGATCTTGGGTCCATCGTAGGAGGAGAGGTTGTCGAAAGCGAGTGACAGGAGAGCTTCCATTGGGGGCGGGTAAATGGTAATCTCGGTAATCGATGGCGGGTAGGTATTGACTATTTGGTTAATAAGGACTGGCTAATCCTGTGCTGTTGATAGGGAGGAATAACAACAAGAATCTAAATAAATTGGGGAAGAAGTAAAAAAAACAAGGTTATGTTTTTTGTTTCTTTGTTTGCTTTGTTTATTAGTGTGGGGAGGTGGGCTGCAGTTTAATTTTGAGAAACGAAGGTATCGGAGTGAGATATGCTTGCTGGCAAATTGGATGCCAGGATATAGCGCGGTGATGTTAATACAAGGCAAAGGAGAAGGTGTAAAGCATTGGAGGGGGTATCAAAGGAGGACTGCCGGCAACGACATGAAAAGAGAGAGAGAATAACAAGCAGGGAGAGTTGAGGTGATGCGAAATGCAACTTGCGTCAATCAATGACAGTGCAATGACAAAAAAGCATCTGCCGGGAGGTTCCAGAGGGCTGGTTCAGCCATCATGTGGCTGCCCGCTGCTCATTTCCCCGGCAACGGCGAGCAATCCAGGGAGGACGGGGAGCCTTACGGAGGCACAGGCACGCAGGAAATCGAGAGGTTTAGTGGCCTACAGGCGGGGTGGCAGTGATTAAGCTCCACTGCGAGGTCCAGCTAGTGCTTCGCGGGAGCGCCGAAGGGACCTGGCCAGGCTCTGAAACTGTCAGTGCTTGCAGCGGACGACGGCTGCACGCCATTTAACTCGACCAAAGTTGCACCCGCGGCGTCTGGACCCTGGACCTTGTCATTCAAGGTGCCCGGTAATAATGATTCGACCACAACGATTTGATGTCTTGGAAGCTGAAGCTCAGCCCATGGCTGGAGATTGGATGACTAACATTAAGATTATACATGCGAGGATCCAATTCTCTCCTCCACCAATGGCAATCGTGAAGACGCATTTCGAGAGTGCATGTATTTTGCCATGCAGGCTTTACCGCGGACATGCATATACATCATGTACTCCGTCCGTAACGCCCGTATAAGCTGAGAGCTGGGTCATGTCCTTGATTTTGTCTCCATCACAGACCCCAGGCATCTTTACTAAGGCGCATGCATAATCAAACCAAGGCCATCCTCACTCAACCATGCAATGGCGGACGAGTTGAGCCTAGAGCTGAAACTAAGCCCCGGCACGTCACATGTTGGTATGGATCAATCCCATCAAGTCAAGTCCTGCTTGTGATGTGATACCCGTCGACTCCATACTCGCACTCCTCGCTTCGCAGCCCTGCTCCACGTTTCGTCGATCTAATTCTGCACCAATTGCCATATGACGCGTTTGCCCAAGAACCCAGTTGACATGAAGAGCCCATCCCTTCTCAAGACTAGTCGGGACGGGCGTAGCATCAAATTGCCTCGATTCAAGTTTACAACTCCCGTCTTGATATGGCCCGGCGCCGTCTTTGGCAACTGCCTGATGCCATCACAAGCACACAAAGCATCCTGCCTACTTTCGCTCCGCCAATCGTCTCAACTCAACAAACATCAGGCTGCCATCAAAGACACCCCCACTAACCAGGCTGCAGCCCATTGCACCAGATCCTCTCCATCCTGGCGCAAACTCCTCATCTCCAGCCTTGCCGAATCGTACCACTTCCCAAGAAGCTGCGAGGACAGGCAGCAAGGCTCGGCCAACTCAGCGTCGAACCCGGCAAACCGGCGACCATACGGCCTTTTGATGCTTCCCGAAGCTCTCGACTGCAGCCAACATGCATAAACCGCATCCCCGTCCTGCGGTCCGGCGTCGTTCTGATAGGGTCGCGGGCATCGCTGTCAACTATCATGTCTTCTACTAATCACTTCGAGCCCCGCCTGTAGTCCAGTAATAGAGCTCCGGTGAACCGTTGGAAACTTGCGGTATGCACATGTACTCCGCACCTCGACTTTTGTTCACCACCAAGAACCCCGCCACCTCGACCAGCTCCACGGCCCTCAGCTGGCGCCACAGCAGCACCTGCAAGTATAAGACCACATATAATTCGCCTCTGGGAAAGCTGGATCCAATGCAGTCCGAATTCACAGTCTCCCCAGGCGCAATCCCTCCCAGGACATCCAGCAGCGGGCTTCGGCCTCGGAGACAGCGCCAGAGCCAGAGCTTCACCTTTGCCAACGCCTTTGCCTCGTCGCTCCCGCGTCTGGACCTGGAATCTTCGAGTGCCGCTTCTGCTTCCGCTTCCGGCGCCGTTGTCGAACCCCTAATCGAGCTCCCAAGCGAGGCCGAGTGGCTTGACCCACGCTCCAGGCTAGGCAAACGCCCAGAACAAATGGCGAAGCGGCCCTTGCACCCTCAACCTCCGCCCCGGAGAAGCTCCAAGAGAGTAAACCACGGCGAGCTCAACAGCACCACCGACAACAACGGCAACGGCGACAACGACAACGACATGCAGCACCAAATCAATCGCTCGGCGCCTCCCGACGTCGCGCGCTTCGCCCACGACGACTTCGACTTTCGCAGCCGCGGCACCTGGACCGCCGACAAGGAGCACATCGTCAGAGGCCCGTTTGAGTACACCGTCAGCCACCCGGGCAAGGACTTTCGCTCCCAGATCATCGCCGCCTTCAACGCCTTCCTCGACGTGCCCCCCGAGAGCCTCAAGGCCATCACGAGCGTCGTGGGCATGCTCCACGAAGCCTCGCTGCTGGTCGACGACGTCCAAGACTCGTCCGAGCTGCGCCGCGGCTTTCCCGTCGCACACAACATCTTCGGCGTCGCCCAGACCATCAATTCCGCGAATTACATCTACTTCGCCGCGCTGCAGGAGCTCGTCAAGCTCGGCAACCAGAGCGTCATCCAGCTGTTCGCCGAGGAGCTGCTCAACCTGCACCGCGGCCAGGGCATGGACCTCTTCTGGAGAGACACCCTCACGTGCCCCACGGAGGACGACTACCTCGAGATGGTGGGCAACAAGACGGGCGGCCTGTTCCGCCTCGGCATCAAGCTGATGCAGGCGCAATCGACCTCCGACGTCGACTGCGTGCCCCTCGTCAACATCATCGGCCTCATCTTCCAGATCCGCGACGACTACATGAACCTGTCGTCGAGCGAGTACAGCCACAACAAGGGCATGTGCGAGGACCTGACGGAGGGCAAATTCTCCTTCCCCGTCATCCACAGCATCCGCGCCGACCCCGTCGACCTCCAGCTGATCAACATACTCAAGCAAAAGACCACCGACGTGCAGGTCAAGCGCTACGCCGTCTCCTACATGGAATCCAAGGGCAGTTTCGACTACACCCGCCAGGTAGTCGGCACCCTCATCGAACGAGCCCGCAAGATGGTCGCGGAGCTTGACGACGAGTCCGGCAGGGCCGCTGGCATCTACAAGATTCTGGATAAGATGACCATATCGTCGTCGGAGGGAGTATAGTCTCGTCTTTTTTTGTGCGAGATGAAAGGGGTGTTAATGATGTACACGAAATGAATGCAAGGAACAGCTACAACGCATCGGCGCCAAAGCGAGGGGTTTCATGACTTTTTTTTTTTATATTTTCTTCTTCATTTGCATTTTGTTCTTGTTGGTGTTGTAGGATGGGTAAGAAATTGCATATCAATCAGCTCGACCTGATTCTCTCTCTAGCGTAACATAGCGGCAACATTAGCCTGTACAATAAGCATCATCATGCATTTCAGCAATACAATATCATATGGACGTGTATCAATCAATTCGCCTTCACAAAGCTGGCTAGCTCATGTGAATATAATAAAGGATAAAAACTAAAGCAAAACCCTGCTGATCCCATAAAATGATCAAGATGCTATTATGATCCAGAAACAGCCGCTGAAACCTTTCTCTTGACCAACCTCACCCACCGCCTCCGTCTCCATTCCCCCTTCTTGCCGATACCGTCTTCGCCTTCTTCCCAGCTCATATGCGCCCCGGCTCGAGTGCTCGCCTTCTCGGGCTGGTCGACAAGGCCGGTGCGCTCCTCGCGATCGTTGAAAATATCATACACCCACCGCTCCCCTTCCGTCTCGACCTCGACCCCCGTAATGATGCGCTCCTCGACCCAGTCCCTGCTCCAGAGATCCAGCGCCCACTTCTTCTCGCTCCACTCCCAGCCCTCGGGCGGCATCACATCCTCGAAGAAGCGCGTGCCGCGTGGCCGCTCGCCAGCGATGCGAGGCTGCGACAGGGGATCGTACGGCGACGGGCAGAAGAGCCAGGCCTCCCACTCGCCCGCCCCAGAGGCCTTTTGCAGCTCAAAGATTTCCACCTCGCGCGTCTCGGGGGCCGAGTCGAGGATCACGTCGGTCGCGATCCAGTCGTCCATCCACGTCTTGGCCTTTTCCTCCCTAGGCTGGATGTGCTCCTCGCGCGTGGCAGCCAGCAGACGAGAGACGGCGGGATGTCCCGACCCGATGGCGGCCCATCCACCTACGAGGAACACGAATCTCCACGGGATCATGTGCGCGGCAATGGTCATGAAGACGCCCGCCGCGAAGAGGAAGAGAAACACGGCCGACGAGAGCGCCTCGTTGCTGAAATTGCTAATGGGCACAAGCAGCGCCACCACCATGTCGTGTCCATGCGTGAAGTCGTCCATGCAGTTCTGCAAATCGCCCATGTTTCGGAAAAAGTCCTTGCTCAGCTCCTTGGCGGGCCGAACTGTCGCTGCCGGTGCCAGTGGCGGCCCCCTTGGAGAATAGCCCATGCTCTGCTCGCTGGAAAGAGTGCCCTTTGGTGGTGCCGGATGCCGTGCCAGAAATCCCGGGATGAAGGCGCCCAAGAGGATTCCCACAATGGGCAGCACGCAGAGGAGATAGGGGTCGAGGCAGACGAAGGTATATGTGGCGAGTAGAGAGAGCGTGTGAGAGGGCTTGCGCCAGGATAGAATGCGCGTCATTCGGGCCTGGAACTTGAAGACTACGCCTATACGGGCGTTGAACCGTCGGAAGTTGTTGGACATGGTGGTGAGGTTGAAGCCAGGCCGCTGCGGGAATGCCGCACCGTCTGACGATATGGAGACTTCGGGGCCATGGCTGTCCTCATCCGGGATGACTTGTTGGAGGAGTCTGCACGCAACAGCATTAGCATCACGACTTCTCGTTTGCAACGACATACACACTTTTCTACTAGGCGATCTTGAAGGTTGGCCTTCTCTCGGAGGGCCGCAAGACCGCCTCGCAGGCCGGAGCGCTGAGGTGATGCCGTCGACGGATCGAGTTCCGCAGGTGCCTTGCGCTCAGGCGGTCGCTCCGGCGATTCATCGCGGCCGGCGGCCATTAGCTCTGCCGCGAAGTCATCCATGGCATGTGATGAGCTGGCTAGTGCTGCCGCATTCCTTCCAGGACTATTTCATGTCGCAGAACGATGCGATGCGATGGAACGACAGCGATAGCTCGATAGCAACCAGGAGAAGGTTGAGGTTAAGCTCGGCATGTGACGCGCGAGGCGGCAGGCGATGATCTCACTCGTGTGGCGTAGCGGCGCCACACTCGTCAAGCCCAGATTTGGGACGGCACTTGGAACGCTCGCCTCCAGAGCTACTGATTCGCCGGCCGTTAATTCTGGGGATTGCGAAGAGCGCTAGCCAGCGGCCGCTAAAAGATGAAGGGTTCAATTGGTAGCTCGCCCTGATATGCAGCGTAGCATTAGAAAGCACGCACAATATTGGATTGGATGCTCAATCGGCTTTGGGGCGTTGCCTCGACAACTGTGCCCGGTTTACTCCGGGTAAAGCAACCACAGTGCTTCGAGATGAAGCAACGAGTTATTCACGGATGCTGTATTTCGACCAATACGATGAATACTGTAGACAGACGGACAAATTAATAATACGCGGAACCATTGAAATCCCCCCAGCGATACTCGTATCGTACCGTACAGTACAGAGCTCCAACAGCAATGCTATGCTATGCCTACCCTGTCTGGGCATGCAGCATTTATGGAGCTGATCTGAGCAAGTTGATAGGGTCCAAGGCGGTCTACAGGGCTCTCACCGCAAAGGAGCTATTTACGTCAAGTGATGCATGCACGGCGACGGGTTTAGGCTTGGTGGATAAAGGTCAACCGTTGCTATGGCTCCATCGCAACGATACGTGGCGGACCGATGACACAACTGTGCAGAACCGTCTTGTGGATGCTATGGAGCAGCAATCAATCTTTGGGATCTGTCGATGCTCCGCACTCTGCGTCGAGTCCAAAGCCCGGCCTTGTCCCTGTACGAGCAGGTATGTAGTCCTTGTAGCACAAGCGGAATGGGCCTTGCAGCACTCGTACTCCGTATATGACGGCGACTTAACCTGTACAATGGGGGACGAACTTCCAACACAGGAGAGCCATCAACGACTGGACCAGCAACTGGTTGTCCAGCGTCTCCCGCCACTCCGCCATGACAATCAGCCGGAGAGGGATGACAGTGGCAACCCAATGCGGCCCATAGGGCACCCAAGCAATACCCAACAATGGAGATGCATGGCCGGAGAGGAACCCCGACGTGAGAGCTTCCGTACTAGGAACGGAGCACTGCCAGCTGCACCACTCTAAGTGCCTGCAAGATCTGACAGCCTGCAGCCAATCATGGCACCACTCTGCAAGCCTCAAAGCAGTCCCATTGGCACGTTGGGAAAGCCAGAGGCGAACAAGAATCACTAACACCAAGCAGCGGGCTCTTGGAAAACGGAGAACTCGAGGCCATTTCCTAAACGGGACACGGCACACAAACAAAACACATCCAGAGCTGAATCCTTGCAGCGGCAACTGCAGCAACGGGCAAAGCAGCACGACAGGATACCTGCATTCTACCTGCGGCGCCTCTGCCAAGGACACTGTCGGCACCTGTATGCTGCATGTATCTCATCAGGTGGCTATTGGCGTTGGCATCGTGGGCGGACGGGCATAAGCGAAGCCCTCAAATGTCGCCTGTTCTAATAGGTGCTGACCATTCTTGGATTGATGCAATACGTGGACGCACCTGAGTCGGCCAGACGAATGTGCGGCATTCATCCTGAGTGAGTACATACATGCTCGTACATGACAAATAGGTACGAGTATGTACCTATGGTGATGAACCGCATGACCTGCGCGTGGTGATATACACAACCGAGCATGTGCAGAACGCCTGCAAGGGCATGTCTTTTCTCTTATTTTGTTTTATTACACATCATTTGACTGTCCTTTTCGAACTCCTCCATCTGTCATTGCTCATCAAGCAGAGTCTATGGCCGTGTTCCATAATACGACGTGCCATTACATGGAGGGGTTGGCAGTGTGGAGATGCCCAAATGATAGGCGAGATAAAGCGAGCAAGATGAAGGAGAGAAGCCGGCATTCTCCTTTTCCAGTGCCACGCAAAACCACGTCGTCATGGGGGTTGGATGCTGCTTCGTACTTGTACATACTTGTGCTGGACACTCGATTTGGACCGATGAGGCGGGCGCTTAAGCAGGGTTGGAGGCCAATTGAGGCAGTACCCGCTTTCACGAGTGGCGCAAAAACTTGGAAAGGAACTGAATTCTGAGGGAGAAAAGTCAAAGGAAGGAAAAGAAAGATAAAAAGGGCCTATTAAGGTTCGATGCGAAAAAAAAAGCAAAGAGAGAGAAAAGTGGGAGCGAACGCAGCCCTGGCAAAAACCCCGTTCGATCGTCGTCCTTGTGTCGTGTATTGACTGCAATCTACAGGTTTCTTGGTAATAGTAAATTGACGGGGTGGCCAATTGTTCATCAATAAAACAATAAAACAAGGGGAATGATATTAGAGAAAGGCCAAAGTGAGATGGGATGGAGCTGAAATTGATATAAGGCTGTTTCATGCTCCTCATTTTATAAAATGGAGTGTTTTTGATGCTCAAGCTCCCAGTATGTAGCATCTGGCATGGACCTGGAAGTAGTAGCCATGTAATTACCCATGACACCGCGTGTAATTAGTTGATCGTGGTCGCCACCAGAAGCATCAGGTATTGATATTGAATTCCATAATACTGAATCAATATTGATCAATCAAATAAGAGCAGCACAGGTGTGCATCAATACTAGGCGTCCGAGTTTCTAGGCTTCAATGCGACATGCAGAGCACTGCCTGGCAGGTTCCCCCCAACTGCCATCGATCAATTGACTTAGGCCGTGCATCCATCGTCCATGTCAAAACACACAAAACAACCGCCTCGCCGTACCGGTACCTCGCCCGCTCGTCTCTTCCCCTCGCGCTACCGCAGTGACACCACCCAAATCCTCACGCGCGCTCCACATCACGAGGTACCGGAACCTCCCCACCCACACTTTTCCCTGGGCTGGCCGCCCAAGCACTAACCGCTAAGTGGCTACCGCGACTCAGGCCCTGGACCTGACCGACCTTGTAGCATCAATTCAGCGGCCTTGGGGCTAGTGCGGCAGTTAGCACGAGCGTTCCTAGGTGCTGTACCAGCGCTGTAGCCAAGCCCAAGTCCACTGAAAGCGTGCAACCCCCGATCCTCGCAAAACAACGACCTGACCTGGACGCTTTCTCCAAGCCGCCCCTTTCGTTTTTTTCTCCCCTTCGCCTCACGCATCGTCGGCAATCCGTATTCCCTGGAGGCAGGCTGCCGTTGGCGTCTCGCAAGCTTCCACCAGACCCGCGCTTGCCTTGCAGCCACCGACCAGAGCCCAACAGAGACCAAGGCCCGGGTCGGGATGAGGTAGCCATTCGCACGCTCTCAGCTCCCTGACCGGACTGAGGCTTGACGCTCCCAGCGAACGACCCTCTTCGTGTGTGCCAGACCGCAGCCGCACACCCGCATCGTCCGCTGCCCGCTCGCGACAACTGCTCACTCTATGACCCTCAAGCACAAGGCGCCTGCTGGGCCTCGACCAGCAAACACGTCACCTCGCCTGTAAGATCTCGAACTCCCGCCGACGGCCCAGAAATTAGAGGAGAGGAGAGGAGAGGGAGAGGGAGAGGGCCTCGGCTCGTCATTGCACACACTCTCTCCTCTAGGGGGCCAAGCAAAGGCCCGGGTGAAAAAAAGAAAAAAGAAAAGAAAAGAAAAGAAAAGAAAAGAGGCGAACAAGAGTACTGACTTGATGCTATGGCAACTGTAGAACATATACCAGATCATCCAGTCGTGTACCGACGGCGACCTCGAGGAGCAACAGCTCGATATCCAATTCTCCAATGCTCAGCACCACATCATCCACCAACCGCTCTCATTTTTCCTACGGTCGAAATGGACAGGCAAGCCAGGCAGAACAAACAATCACCACCACAGGCTCTTACGATTTTCTACCCTCTGTGAGCTTCGACGACCTCCACACCAGCATCGAATCCGCCGGCTCCAGCACTGAATTCCGCCGCAACAAGTATCCTTCTCCAGCGGCGTCACGGAGTGACGTCGAATCTTCGTTAAGCATGGCCGACAGGAGGATGTCCGACAAGTCGGCCGCCAATCCCAATGGCAGTGCTACGCGCGTGGGCGTTTCGGGCTCGTCTTCGCGAGCCACGAGGTCGGGATCCATTCTCCACAGGCCAAGCGCGTCGAGACAGAACAGCGCCTCATCCATTTCAACCACGTCCGGCTCCATCGATGCTTCCACGGCGACTATTGGAGTACGCACCCGCCGCCAGAGCCAGTATCCTCCAGTCTCTGGTTCCAATGCCGCCGCCAAACCCCCTCGAAAATCTATCGGGCCTGGCGTCGTTGCCGACGCGGAGACGGTCACGCGGAGCTCCTCGAAACGCCGTCCCAGTCTCTTCTCGGAGAGGACCAGCGATATGACCAGAGCCTCCCTTGATATAGCAGATGCCACCCACACCTTCGCCACTACCGCCAGGAGCGTCAAGGCCAAGTCGGTGCAGCCCTCCCCGGTGGTCAGCCAAACAAACATTTTAGCCAGTACCTCGCTCACGCCAGAGCAACTTCGCCCTGCTCCCAAATCGCCGCGCCCTGGGAGCAAGGGACTGACGCCGTCATCCTCGGGGCGGCGGGCATCCGTCATGCCTACGGGCCATGCCTCTCATGCAACCGGCCTAGGTGCCCGAACCATAAGCCCAACCGATACTAGAAGATTGAAACGTATGTCCATGATGCCACAGTCTATGAGCTCAAGCCAAGTTTCAAATGTGCCAGCGAACCCGCCGATTTCGATGGAGACGCGAGCCGCCTCTAGATCGCCATCAATGATTCCTAGGAAGGCCTCTGCCACGCCATCGTCGTCCCGGACCACGCCAGATATCAGCAGAAAATCGTACAGCTCTGGTCTTTCCGTTGGTTCTACCATTAGCTTCAACACCGTGAGGACGTCTACTGGCTCTCTGCAGCCGCGCTTATCGCAGTCATCCTCCGTATCTCGACTACCCGCTCCAAAGCATACTGCTACTCACGGCTCGTTGCCCTCGGGCGACGAAGAAGACGTGCCCCCTGTTCCTGCAATCCCCAAAGCATTTGAATCTCCAAAGGACAACGAGGCCGATGCATACTTTTTGGCCAAGAAGAAATCCAGCCTCGGTACTCTCGACAGCATCACCATCAACCTTGGCACCAGAGACTCTACCACGAGCCAGGCGGCCCCGGCGCCCACAATGGGAACTGTCAAACTGCAACGTAAGCCGAGCGTCAAGACAGCGGCATACGCGCCCGTGATGCCGAGACCCGAGGAGAAGAAGAACACGCAAGTGAAGAAGAGTTTGGAACCCCTTCGATTGCCACCACTGAATCTTGGTCCGTTGAGCATACCTACAGCAGCCAAAGTGGCCGCATTGCAAGACGAGCGAAACATGAGCCCACCGGCCTCACGACAGCTCCCCAAGACGCCAACGACTCCGATGACAGCATCAAAGAGCTCATTCTTTGCAAAGACGCGCTATGATGATAACATTGAGCCATTGCCGCCCATCAGAAGCAGCACTTCGGCACACCGAACTCATCGCAGAACCCCAAGCCCACCAGACGCGACGACCTCTTCTTCGGACAATTCTTTGGTTTTCAAAGATTTGACTACCAAGTCGAACATGACTCCGTTTTTGTCCTCATCTCTCCCCAAGAACAATCCCACACAGGGATTCTCGAAGCACGCTAATGTCAATCGAACACTGTTTGATGACAAGACTCCTCACCAGAAACCTGCTGGGCCGCGCCCACCGAATACAGACAAACCCGTACCCAAGTCTCCTCCGCCGAGTCTACCTGCTGAGCAACCTCAAACGCCTTCTTCGATGAGCACGCTCAGGAGAAAGCTTAGCCTGTCTTGGAAGAAGGGCAACTCAAAGGGAGCCATTGTTCCACCCCAGGATGTCGTAGACAAGGCGCAGGGCATGAAACAAGACAGTATACCGCCTCCTCGAATACCCGCATCTGCCACGTTGAACTCTCTCCCAACCGGGAAGCATTCTGGTCCGAGCGCATCTGTTCCCCAGGGACTCTCTGAGTCAAAGAGAAGGAAAAGCTCTGCTGGCAGCATGAACGCTGCCTATGTTTCCCACGATAGAACTAAGAGTGACCCGTGGGCAGCCAAAAAGGATGCCGCCGCCGCTGCCGATCCTACGACCATGCCCCCAGCGCGCAACCCTTCGGTCATGGCCAAGCTCATGAGACCCAAGACGGCCTCGAGCGCCATGTCCAGTTCAACCTCGTACGTTGCCGAGATCGACAAGGACGATGTCATTGCCGAAGAAGAGATGCGCAAGTTGGGATCTCGGCGCAAGGAGACGGAAATCGCGGCCAGGACGCTCGACGCCTTGAAGAAGAGGGCTTCACCTAAGGAGCGGGTTGGACCTCACGAGGCGATTCGCATTGCCATGCTAAACATTTATGAGCGTGGTGAGATTATCGACTACAACGACGTGTATTTCTGCGGCACCCAGAACGCCAACAAGGTCGTCGGCGACCTGTCGTCGGACGCCCCGAACTTTGGCTATGACGATGAGCGCGGAGACTATTCGATTGTAATCGGTGACCACCTCGCATACCGCTACGAGGTCATCGACGTCCTTGGAAAGGGAAGCTTCGGTCAAGTCGTTCGATGCATCGACCATAAGCTCGGCGTTCTCGTTGCCGTCAAGATCATTCGAAACAAGAAAAGATTTCACCAGCAAGCTCTTGTTGAGGTTAACATTCTGCAAAAGCTTCGCGAGTGGGTGAGTATATCCATTTGAGCATCATGAGACATGCTTTCCCTTGGTCAATTTGAGTCAACGTTTTGCTAATCAGCTTTTGTTTCTTTCCACAGGATCCTCATAATAGACACAGCATGGTAAACTTCACTCAGAGCTTCTACTTCCGTGGCCATCTCTGCATCTCCACGGAACTGTTAGACATGAACCTCTACGAATTCATCAAGGCCCACTCCTTCAGGGGGTTCTCTTTGCGGATCATCAGACGCTTCACAAAGCAGATTCTCAGTTCTCTGATTATACTGAAGCAGAAGAAGGTTATCCACTGCGACTTGAAGCCAGAGAATATTTTGCTACGTCATCCGCTCCACGCCGAAATCAAGGTCATTGACTTTGGTTCCAGCTGCTTTGAGAGCGAAAAGGTCTACACCTACATCCAATCGCGATTCTACCGGTCACCCGAAGTAATATTGGGCATGACCTACGGTCTGCCGATTGACATGTGGAGCGTGGGTTGTATCCTGGCCGAGCTGTATACCGGTGTGCCCATCTTCCCTGGTGAAAACGAGCAAGAGCAGCTAGCCTGCATCATGGAGGTTTTCGGCCCCCCTGAAAAGCACCTCATTGAAAAGAGCACGAGGAAGAAGCTCTTCTTCGACTCCATGGGCAAGCCCCGACTGACAGTCTCGTCCAAGGGCCGCAGACGGCGCCCCTCATCCAAGACTCTGCAGCAGGTGTTGAAGTGTGACGACGAGGCGTTCCTTGATTTTGTCGCCCGGTGTCTCAGATGGGACCCTGATCGCCGGCTGAAACCTGAGGATGCTGTCAGGCATGAGTTCATCACGGGAATAAAGGTGCCCACCCCTATCCCCCGCTTACCTATGCGCGAAGCATCCCCGGTAAAGCGCCACAACACCATCTCGGTGTCTCGTCCTTTGCCCGATCCGCCTGGCATTTCAGGCAAGGCCAATGCCAGCCCCGGCAAGCCAGTCCCCGTCTCCATGCGTAGAGCGTCAGGAGCCACGGCAGCCACCACCGCAAGCCTCAACAGGCGGACAAGTGCCGGGCCCGCGAGCCATGGGCTGACGGGTCTGACTGCCACATCAAGCACCAGCAGCTTGCCGCGGGCTGCGGGCCGTATCGTGAGCGGAACCCGGGACATTGCCGCCGCGGGCGCAACTGCGGCTATGAATCGACGAGCTTAGGACCACATATTCTCAAGTGACTCGAAGAAGAAAAAGTGTGTACGAACAATAACATATTGGGAGTTTAAGAGGGTCATTCGCATTTTACATTGATGATCACCATGACTCATTGGTTATTCGCTTTGATTTTTTTCCATTCTATTTTTTTCCTATTTTCTTTGCATTAGGGTCGGGGTGAGATGATACACATTCCACTGTTGTTCCGGTCAACCAGACGAGCCACACAAGTCCCGGTCTTGGAGTTTCCCATTCTGGTAGCTGAAATTTATTCTTTTTCTGTTTCTCTTACGACATGAAGGAGAGGGGAGATGAAAGGGGGGCGACGTCGACAACGGATGGGGGGAAAGACTATTGGGTTTAGTGGGCTCACGAGAGTTGGTTGGTCGAAGGAGAAGTGTTTTGTTCAACCAAAGATGAGGGGGGTAAAGATGAAGAAGAAGAAGAAGAACAATAAAGGGAGGCATGATTTTATACGTCGTTCTTGTCTAGTATAGCGGCTCTTTTTTACGTGCTTGCTGGCAAAAGGCTTTGAAGCGTGCCGAACATGTATATTCTTTTTTTTTTCTTGTTTAAAACTCCTTTTTTTCTCGGCCCTTCCATTGCGGGTGTTTCTCTTTTCTCTTTTTTCTCTTTTCTTTTCTTTTCTTTGCTATTCTTTTTATTTTAAAAGGCCTTTTATTTTCAACCGATTTCAAAGACGAAACGAACAACGCAAAGGGGGGCGGAGGCGTAAAGCAGGTACATGTTAGGCTGGGATAACCAAAACCAGTCTTTGTTCTTTGTATTGCGAGTGTGTTTTTTTTCTCTTTTTTTTTTGCCGATTCCATTCTTCTATTTCGAAACTGTTTTCTTCTTTCTTTCTTCTTTTTTATTTTTTTTCTCTTCATTTGGCGTGCGATAACTCACCTATTCGGATCTCAACTACATTCCGAAGCTACGCATGGGGGTTCATGACATTTACATAGAACGCTAGAAAAAGGACAAAGATGAAGAAAAGAGAAAAAAAAGGGGGGAGGTTGTTTCTTATTCGCGAAGAAACGTGCCATCGATTTCTTTTTCTTCTTCTTTCTTCTCTCTCAATGTCGTGTAGTTCTACTTTGCCCAGTTTACACGGGGCTCCTTGAATAGAAAAGGGGGAGGGGGGGAGACAAACAACACTACCTCTTCGCCTCTACGACGAAAGTGTAGATAATAATCAACTATATACATCGGAAATGAGTAATTTGAGAGAAAAAAACAAATGACCTTTAGTTTAAATTGACCCTCCCGCCGTAAGCCAATCCCATGTCTCCGTTGCCCGTTGCCGCAACCCAAGTAAACAGCCGTTTCGAACAAGGAGGACACAATGTTGCCTGGTAATAGGACAGGACGAACACGAAACTTTGTGCCGCATGACTCTTTTTCATTTTTTTCCATTTTGCTTCTGGGTTTGGATTGTTGGGAATATTACCTGCATGCAAAGAGAGGCCAATCAGCGGTGCGCAACGGACTATAGCCAAGGCCAGAAGAAGAAGCCTAGAACGGGAGAGAAGTAATCCGATGATACGACAACCCATGGCGGTGGGGTTTCCCGTGAGACGGGGCCTAGAATTGATGGGAATAGGTTTAAAGCAAGGGGTAAAAGAGTGGGAAGGGAAGAAACGAAGAGGGTGTATGTGTGATAATGTGCCATGTTTTGTGATGGGATGTAACACCACGATGGAATGAGCGTGTGCATATATGGATGGAGTTGCAGTTGCATTGCTTAGCCCGAGATGACAAAAGTACGACGGTGGGGAATTGGAGGGTTCGTGCCTAATCTGCACCGGCGAGTAAACTCGTCTAATTGCCAAGTCAGGCGGGCATTCTCTAACAAGCTGAAATGCAGCTGATAGAGTTGTTTGATAGTGCAATCTGCAAGATGGCCTGTTTGAGGCCTCCTCGCTCTAACTGCTGCATGCAGCAACGCCAAGCTAGTGAGCGCGGCTGTTTGTAAGACCAGCTATGGATACATGTGTTATATGGCCGATCTAGCTCGAGGGATGGCGCGGCGGCAAGCCAACTCTGACGACGAGAAGCGAGAGGTTTAAAAAACAAGTCCTGGTAAAGTTATAGCCGTGTTAGGTGATAGCCTCAATGAGTCAGTCTTGATGGTGGAGATGGCATCAAGTGTGTGCAGATGATAGAACATGGCCATTGTTTCAAGTGTCGATGTGCAAGGCGGAAAACAAACATGGGGGAGGGGGGGTGTAGGACGTTGCATGTTTGGTCAGATTAGGCGCCCGGATCAATGTCAGTAAAATAAAATAAGACAAAACAAAATAAAAATGATCGAAGCCGGGGGTTAGGAATCCCAGGAATCGTCATCCCGGACTCGATATACTGATGCGCCACCGTTGCAGAGATCATTGCTCGATTCTGGGTTGCGGAAGCTGAGCCGCGGTTGGTAAGAGCGGCACTTAGTCCCTTGACTGGGTATGAACATCACAAGCATGATGACCAAAATAAAGCAAAAGCGGCCAAGCCAAATCGGGGGCTATCTTTCGCAAGAGAATGAGGCTCATTCGTCCCCTAAAAAAGCCATGGATCTGCTAGGGCATTGACATGGGATGAGAAGGAAAAGACAAGGGGGTGTATCGAAGAAAATCCAATGATGCGGGATAGCGGGTCGCTGTTCGCTACACCAGCAGGGGAAGACCAACCAGGGTGTGGATGCGGATGTGGATGAGAGAGCACGCAGAGTCGCACGTTTCACAGCTTCAGGCGCGAGAGCCTACAGCAGATACTGACACCAGGTGTCGAGAGCCGGGAGTATCAGGCTGCCGGTGGGCAAGGCAAGCAAGCAGGGGATGGCAATCGGACATTGCTGACAAACTATGCAAGGTGGAAATAAGGTAATCAACCGTTTACAAATATGCAAATGCGTGAATCTGTCCGCCTTTTGTCTGAAAATCGACGTGATAATTGTCAGCGTCCAATATGGTGCGGGGGCCCAGCGGCTGCCTAGCCGACCAAGTACGGGGAACAGCTGTTTCTCCTGGAGTAAGATCAGCCCGGAAGACGTTGCCAGCGCCGGAGTTTGATGCCTTTGGAAACATAGGTAGCCATCGTAATCCGCAACGCCGTCTGCGTATCTGGCGGATGTGGCGATTGACGAGCCCGCCGAACGTAGATGCCGACAGATGGCGCCATGGAATCGCTCCGCCGGCTGGAATCATCGAGTCATTTGGTGTCTTTGCAAGCTTCGGAGCCCGCGACAAGTGTCACGAACGACTTGATGATCTCGCCGTTCTGTTTCGTCGCCGTCCATTGCTGGCGTGCCCGGCAACTCCGGGGCGGATACCGGATGCGGACATGGACGGGCGACCGGGGGGAAGCAAAAGCGGACCTTTTTTCCAGCAAGCCACAGTGAGAGGCGCAGCGAATACGGGGCGTCGAACCGCCGGATTGCTAGTCACCGCTGATGCTCGCTAACGCTGCGCTCGTCAAAGGGACGATTGAATCATGAGAGGTGTGTGCAGTAGGTGTCGAGAATGAGCAATGCGCAGAACATGATAGAATCTCTTGAGCGCGCAGGCACGGAGGCACGCAGGCACATCTTGGGGGGTAGCCTGTCTCTGGTAGCACGACAGGGGGAGCCCAAGACTGGCCAAGATGACGACGCCGCGCCAGTTGATACAAGTCACGCGCGGACAGCTTCGGGAGCAGGGCTAGCCACCGATAGATACATATTGCAAGCGACGGGTGACGGGCTCCATGAGGTCATATGCGCTACAGTACTGCCGTACCGTACCGGACTTGCAAGGTGAGGCCAGAGACAGATGGCCTTATCGACCTTGTCACGGTGACCGGTGCGTACGGCTTGCTCGAGCCAGGTGACGGGCCAAGAGGGCGGTGAACACCCAGGTGAAGCTCCCGGCTCGCCAGTGACATGTCGCACATCAAGCATCAAGCAGGCATTCGCGACTCAAGATGCCAAAATAAACCCCTAGGCCTCGTCGATTTCGGCAGGTCGCCCTCTGTCCTGTGCTCCATATTGACGGCCCGGTCCCGGTTGGTGTTTGCGCCGACGCCGACTTTGGTCGAGCTACTGCTTCACGAGAGAGATTCTGTTCTTCGGCCGTTTAGATCCTCAGCTCCCTCTCGCCCCCACCAATGAACAGCTGGGAGCGCGTCTGTCGCTTAAACATCTGCTAATCCTCTCGTAGCATCGTCTGGTTTGATTGACCACTGGCATTGACGTTTGGACCTGGGGCGGGCTGACAGCCATCGGGACCCAGCTCATCCGGGCTGGCTGGTTCCACCCCGCCGACCCTAAATCACTCCCGAGACATGTTTTAGAATGCCACGAATCTGAGTGCAAAGATGAAGATGGACTAGGGGAACACGCAGGCAGTACGAGCTCTCATGATACGAATCCGCGGTGCCGATGTCGAGCTGTCTGGTTTCTTCTTCTTCTTCTTTGCCTCATTCTCTCTCACCCTCACTTTCTCTGCATCATTTGCTCTAGAAATAGAAACCATCTTCACCTCAGCCCAAGCGCTGGTCAGAATGAGCCTCTCCTTCTCGCGGTTGAGCACGTTAGTCTCAAACTCTATTTCTTTTTCCATCGGCAGGTTGTCCAGCAGATGGAAACTATTTTTACTCCATATTGCCTGCTAGTAGTCGTAGTAGACCGTGCCGATTGCCAGGGCGCTTCCAAGCAGGCAGTGTCGAGGGCGTCGGAGGCAGCATCAGATGGAAACCCACGTAGGGAAAGGTGCGTTTCGAATAGACGGTAGGCCCCAGCAAACTGGGACGGGAAGGGAAGATTAAGGTAGGAGCCAAAGTGGAAGAATAAACGGAAGGGAGGGTAGTGATACCAAGGCCTTGGGTTTAGGCCAACAGGCGATCTAGTGTGGTTCCTATATTTGGTATCAATCTTACGGGGGTCCCTTGCAATCGTCCAAAGCCAAATCCGTCATCCGTGCGACCGTTGCACGATCGCCCGTCAGCGGTGATACGATAGATCTCAAAGTTGC